ATCCTGAGATAACTCATCCACCGCAGGGAGACCTGCCCACGCCAGACCCTGATTTGGAGAAACATTTTCTATTCACACTGGAGCGTGCTAGGGATGGCATTGATGCCCAGGAGCTTGAATGACTAATCTTGGTTTACAGTTGAGCCAGTGAGTAAATAAATTAGGAAAGTCAGTGCTTCATTTAACAACTGGTGCTCAGCACCAAGTTGTAAGGGTCTCATCATTAGATGAGCTGGACCACTTCTCTCCTGCACATGGATCCTTCATTAGAGGTGATAGCAACCACTGGGTGATGTCGTGTGTGCACTTGACAGTGTGGTGGATGGGTGGGTGGAGATACAATGACTACAATGAGGAAGCATGAGGAGCACACTTTGGCCCGCCGCCTATTGTCGCCCACTGGACTACAGATTTCAGGGGGAATTACTGAACCTTTGGGTTTGAGGAAGTTGATATAGAGCACTCCAGCAATGTTTTGTGGTTGTATTGTAGTTGTCTGTTTGCTGGTTTGTTGGTCTGTCTAATAAATATCGATCTATCTATCTATAGATATATATTTATACAGAAAATGAGAAGTCACAAAAACTCAATACATGTCAGCATCAATACATTTTCCCTTTTTTCTTGGGAAATGGGAATCCCAGAAAATCACATTATCACAGGAATGTCTCCTCTCCTGAGACGAGTGAAAGGAGGAGGGGTAAAGAAGCAGACCACACCACTCCAATCTTCTGCATATGTCTACCTAGTTCTGGTTAACTCAGTTCCTATTTCAAAATCAGCATGTGGAAATAAAAGATCACATTTTTCAGATAATATCAATTACTGTACATTTTACTCTGAATTACCAAGTTGTTATCTTTTGTTAATTTTTCCCTGTATGGGTTATTGATGAAGTCCAGATATCCTCCTGAGGATGGATAAGGGAGGGTCATAAATTGTCACATTGTCACTTAACATTTATTGGCATCCTCTCTGACTCAGGCTGGGGTTATCACACTTGTAGGGTTCAGGTCACACGAAAACAGTGCAATGGTCACTTAACTTGATATGTGTGCCTTGATATCATCCCCTTGGTTGTTTATGCTCAGAAAAAAGCGAGGACGGTATGTTTGGGGGACATTTCTCTCTGAGTCCTCCCAAAGCTTCAGTTCTGTGTGGACTATTTAAATTGTTGCCATGCCAAAATTTCATACTATGATTAAAATGTGTCCGGAGTCAGTTACGGATTGTACTGTTTAGAAAAACAAGTATGTTATAAGTAATATGTTGTTTCACGAATTAACCTCTTAACATTCCAACGGCCCACCCACGGGCCGTCAGGTCCTGTCGGTAGCTTTCGGTATGTGCACACAGCAGCTATGTTAACTTCATTCTCCCATGATACACCGTTTGAAAGCTAAAATCCCTGTGATTCGACCCATGCAAACTATTTCAAGATACAGTGCTACAAACAAGTAGCATGATTGTACCACAACAAGAATTCTTTGTGTGTTGATGAATCTCTCTCCAGAAGACATAAAAATTTCCACACAGGGCTCAATTTTAGGCCCTACCCTTTTTAATCTGTACATGCTGCCGCTTGGAGACATCATCGTTTCATTTTTGCCGGCAGACATGGCTTGTATGTCATTATAACCGTAATAACTCTGATTTGAATGTAAACAACTACGATTTCTTGTATTCAATTTAGCCACTGAACTCTAACCTTTTGAGTGACACCAAATCCGACCCAGTAGGAGTTCACATGTCCCTTTCACAGCCTATAATAGCCAACGAGAGCCCACACTGTAAGGAAGAGCCAGCCCCTATTATTTTGTGGGTAGGCCGAGCCAATTGCAAGCAATTGTTCCGATGACTGGCACTTCGTGTAGCCAATATAGTTCTGAAAATAACGATATCCAGCTTTAAGTAGGAAATTCATGATTTAATACGGCTAATACGGAGCAATGCAGCAGCAGCCGTCCTGCCTGCCAGCCCTCCGCCTGTCCTGCCTGTATCCTGCTCGGCTAGCACGGCTAGTCCTCCGCCTAGCCTGTCCGTCCGCCTGCCTGCCCTACCTACCAAGGACTCAGGGACTATGACTCTCCTGGCCTACCTGACCATGAAGGCCAGGGAGTCCGAGGCAGCACGGGCAGCTAGCCTATGGCCTGATAGCCTGGAGGCTAGGCTTTCCCCAGAGTCGTCCTTTGAAGGGAGTCGCCTAGCCATCTTTCCCGTGGTGGTCATCGGAGGCGACCAGGTCACCATCAGCGACCTGTCGGCAACCAACCTGTCCCCCGCCTGCCTGATCCCTGGCCTGCTCCTGATCCCAGGTCTCACTCGGTGGTCCTACCGACACCTGTTGCTGGTCCCTCGTCGAAGGTCCGACTGACACCAGTTACAAGGTCTCCGTCGGTGGCCAGACCGAGCCCTGCTCCTCGGGTCCAGTCTATGGTCTCTAGACCTCCTGTTCCCTCGTCGGTGGCCCGACCAGCACCAGCTCCGTTGGTGGCCCAGCCGATTCCTGTTCCTAGTGCTCAGTCGGTGGTCAGGCCGACTCCAACTCCTCGTGTCCGGTCCATGGTCCCCAGCGCTGCTGTCCAGTCGGTGGTCAGGCCGACTCCAGCTCCTCGTGTCCGGTCCATGGTCCCCAGCCCAGCTGTCCAGTCAGTGGTCAGGCCGACTCCAGCTCCTCGTGTCCGGTCCATGGCCTCCAGCCCAGCTGTCCAGTCCATGGCCTCCAGCCCAGCTGTCCAGTCGGTGGTCAGGCTGACTCCAGCTCCTCGTGTCCGGTCCATGGCCTCCAGCCCAGCTGTCCAGTCCATGGCCTCCAGCCCAGCTGTCCAGTCGGTGGTCAGGCTGACTCCAGCTCCTTGTGTCCGGTCTATGGTAATCAGCCCAGCTGTTCAGTCCATGTCCTCCAGCCCAGCTGTCTCGCCCGTGGACCTCAGCCCAGCTGCTTGGCCGGTGGTCCTCAGCCCAGCCGCCTCGCCCGTGGTCCTCAGTCCAGCTCTGCCACTTGAGGCCTCAGGCCTCCTACGTCGGCCTCCTGACCAACCTCCAGAGAGGTTCCGCCCTCAGCGCTGGCCTCCTGCCCGATCTCCTGAATTCTGTGACCCCCCTGTTCTGCCCGGCCTGTTGGGTCGTCCTCCGGGACGGCCTCCCGAACTCTGTGGCCCCCCTGTTCTGCCCGGCCTGTTGGGTTGTCCTCCGGGTCGGCCTCCCGAACCCTGTGGCCCCCCTGGTCGGCCTGGCCTCATGGGTCGTCCTCCGGGACGACCACCTGAACTGTGTTACCCTCCTGGCCTGCTCAAACGACCTCCTGGTCGGCCTCCTGAACTGTTCTGCCCCTCTGCCCTGCCCTGTATGTTAGGCCAAGCGCCTTACCTGCCCTGTTTCCTGGCCATGATCTGCCTGTTGGGTGGTTCCCCCAGACTGTTCCCTAACCCTGATTTGCCTGTTTTGTCTTCCTTATGGACCTTATGACCCCCCTGCTCTGCCCTCAGGCCACCCGCCGGAGAATTCCCTGTCTAGTCCCTGGCCTCTCTGGATTTTGATTTTTGTTTTTCTACAATTTGTCAAGAGGCTTTTTATTTAGCGGATGGTATCAGTCGTGATTAGATGATTCATGACACAAAATTTGCAATCGATGACACTGGTCCTGCTGGCCTATTCTCAGTTGCATTAGTCATTCTTGTCCCCTGCTGACTCTTGAAATGACATGAAGTCGGCTTGACCATTTTGTTTACCTCGGACATGCTGTGATTTTGATTCCACCGTTTTCCCCCCCTGTTTGTTTGTTTATTTGGATCCCCATTAGCTGCTGTATCATAACAGTATTCCTGGGGTCCATATAAGAAAGTAGATAGAACCACGAGACCGAAAGGTAAATAATATTTAAGGTTTTACTCTTTTCAGAGGATGCATTTTTAATAATAGTTTAAAACTGGACACTTCTTGAATAGGCGTACATTGCTCAATCAACATGTTACATACACTGCCGTTTATTGCTGCATGTCTAGTAAAATAGTTATGTGTATTACAGTAGTTATAGTAGTACAAGTAACTTTTGTGATATGTGGGGGATTTTGTGATTATGACATCTCTGATAAAGTAATGAATGGAGTAAACTGCTTGAAACATCAAGCCAGGAGAGATTTTTGTACATGCATTTCATGAAAACCTTTCCTGTACACCAAGACAGCTCAATTATTATTAGTGAATCTAAACCCTCCAAAGCTCAGACCCCTGGACCAAAAGTCATGCATGTATTAATCATTGACCATATGATATTAATGTTTAGCCTGAAGACTCTATGGTCTAGAATGAAGATGCACATTAAAATAGCTAAAGATTTATAAAAGGGATTCCTCTGATCCCAAAAGTTAGTCGCATAGTTATTACATACGTAAATAAGAAAACGTGTTTGGAAATGTTATTTAATTAAGTATGTTGCGAAATGAATAGTAATTGTCAGGTTAAATAGTTGTTGGATGAAAAGTAATTTCCAGTGAGTATTTTCACTGTCCCACGCATCCAAAGTGATATCACCTGCCTGTTTTAATTTTGAAAACCTGATGGTGAAATAACATTACTCACAAATAAAAAGCTCCAACAATGTTTACACAGAATATTATTCAACCAATGTCCCTCCTGAATTGACTGGCTAAACTGAAACAGACCCCCCTTATAGCACATAATGGTTCCACTAATTATGTTAAAGATGAATGCTGAGCTTATGGCCTCGTTTGAAGATTAGGGTGCAGCTGCAGACTCTTTAGAGGGACAATCAATGTTGTTTAAAGGTTATTTGTCAGGGAACCTCCCGATTATGCACAGATTGTGAAAAGATTGCTGGGCACTGCAGACTCTCTCCATACCTTCGCTCTGCAATCCTTTTCTGCAGTGGAGAACATTAAAGTGAATGTGGAGGAGGAGTCCTCACTAGGGGGAGAGGGGTGGGGTGGAGGAGGGGTGGAGAAAGAGTAAGATACCAGCAACACAGGCAGATAGCGATGTACACTGGGAGAACAGAGGCATCAGTGTAAAGAGTATGAGCATCTTAACAGAGCAGGTCTGCTGGGAGTGTCATCCTTAATCTGAGCGGTGCGCTGAAGCTTTGGATACTGTCCACTCATCATCAGCCTGGTACGTTTATCATACTGCATCTGCCTGATCTGCATGCTGATTCTACCGTTTGTGTGGAACAGAAATGTTTTTAAAGGATCTATGGAACATTTGCTGTTCAAATGTAGGACACACAATTAGCATATTTTTTTTTTATAATTTGATTACAAGATACAGAAATGTTAAATCTGCTTGGCTGATATCTAAAGTTTGGATATTCATCTTACGCTGGCACCTGCTAGAGGAATATTTAATATAATGTATTTTACTCAAGCTCTGTTGCTGTGATAAATATGCAAAATACGGTGATGGAATATGTTGCCTTATCTGTGCCTGCTTGTCATTTTTTGCTACTCCTGTCAAAATGAAGGTGTTTTCCCTGTCTGGTTTTGGCTGTGCTACATCCTCATCACCCTCCTCCTCCTCTCTGGCTCCGCTGTTTTTTTTGCTCGTCGTTTGGTTTTCCAAAAATTCTGAATTATGCCCTCACATCCGTCACGCTGAGCTCAGCCAAAGTCTGCAAATTTCACAACCTGTCCAGTCCCTCATGCTCTGTTACTAGCTCATAAAGCTCCTGTGTGTCAAACCCTGTCTTCTCTGTTCTACCCTGATACTCTAGCACATGTTCTGGCTGGAGTCTTAGCCCTGATATCCTATAATGCATTGGGAAATTTAGTATCAATTCAGATAGTCTTTCCTTGTGGGAAGAAAGGGAGATCAGCACCACTATGAAAGAGGCTGCTAAAGTCAGGGATGGACACAGAGGTGTGAGGGAAATTCCTCTGCAGCTGATGCTGCTATAATAATGCCTCTACATAAGGATAATAAGAATATGTTCTTTCCACTTTATTTATCATTCATTTGCCATTGACTGATCAGTACATCCTCTTTTTTTTCTCTCGGTCATGATTATGCAGATTGCCAACGGAGTTTATACTGGCAGGATGCTGAAGGTTTAATAATGTTTAATAATTCGTTTTGCTGAAATTTGAGAAATGGAAGCAAAAAAGCCTAAGGATGTCTGAAAATGCCACAACATTTCAGATTTTAATGGTCTATATTTAAAGATTTTTAATTCATTGTGACTTTGCTTTACTGTCTTAAAAAGACAATAGTTCTGTGATTGATTCCTTCATAATTTCTGGGGAGAAAACTGCTGATATTGGTTGTAGCCTGAGCTTGGCATAATAGGTTGTTTTCTTTTGTTTGAAAATGTGTATTTGATCTCAACTGCCACTCAATTTGGGTCTTGTTTCCACATGAGAAGGCTACAACAAAGTGACATTTTTAAATGCAGGTAATAGGTATTGTGATTTCAGATGTACGGGAGTCCAATCCAATTTATCAACCCTAGACATTAAGTATATATACTACTAAATGGTCTTGTCATGTAATTTCCTAATTCAGATATGGTTAAAAAACATCAACCAAATTTTACCAAACAACACACTGATGCACTGAGCAATGTCGTACTATCATCAAATCACAGCTACAAACATAACCAAACACATAGGGTTTGCAGTCTCAGGTGTTCATTAAAGATGGAATTTAATTAAACGTTCACTTCACTGTGACTCATCAACTTCACCATCAAGAGAACCTCTTTACTTTCAAGCCCCAATTTTGCATCACTCACAATTCAGCAATATGACAAATTGACAGGGGAAAAACAGCTGACAGTACACCTCGGAGGCTCTAATATGCAGCCTAATATAACATTATTGCTGATCAGAAATGGACAGAGATAAACCTGAGATGGACCTCTGCTCTTCCCGCTTTTAGAGAGTGAGAGACGACCACACTCAAACAGCTCCGGGTTTAAGACACAATTCCTTGGATTAAAGATGAGGAGAAGCGAACTGGCTGCTGTAAATGTCCCATTTCACTTACCTGAAACCCTCTCGTTCTTTTATGAAGCCAACAAATCTCTGCAGTGTATAACATGCATAAATGGCAGCACTAAATCTTCACTTTAAAGGTGACCACTGTGTGGATGTGACAGAAAACCTTTTAAAACAAATGCTGTCCAATAAAGTATGAATTTAGCATTACCATGTAATTTAATCTGGTAAAATTTCCATTTGAATTTAGATTTAAATGTATAGATATACTGCATTGCAATCTTACTCAATTGTAATTAATTTTAATTAAAAAACAGTGAAAATATTCCCAGCACAAATCTGACAAAAAGCCACCAGCCAATTAAAAACACCCTCTCGTTCTTGTCTTAATATGTGTGACATGACTCGACTGGGGATTAATTGGATAAAGAAATCTTCTGGTGCATGGAGGCTTGTCAAGTTTTTTAGTATAATTTCAAAAGTTGTAAAGACTAACTTGTCATTAAACCCCCTCTGAGTGAGCTCCTTTGTCATCGTATCAATACTGACCACCAGTGCATGAGCCCTGTCTCTAAGTTGATTTAAGATTTCCACCCAGGAGACATGGTAAACCTGTCAAAAGATCCAGGAAAGTGCTTACAATTAGCTTGACACACGCATGTTTTCTTTCCTATGTCAGACTTGAAAAATGTCTGACTTTGAGGATTTCAGCAAGCCAGGAGGGCAGGTGAATGTGTCTGACAGCTACCAGCTGAACCCCACCAGTGTGATTGTTTCGGTGGTCTTCTCCCTCATCTTCCTGCTGGGCACCATTGGCAACAGCCTGGTGCTTGCTGTGCTTCTGCGGAGCGGGCAGGTTGGATACAACACGACCAATCTGTTCATACTCAACCTGAGTGTGGCCGACTTCTTCTTCATCATCTTCTGCGTTCCTTTCCAAGCCACCATCTACTCTCTGGAGGGCTGGGTGTTCGGCTCCTTCATGTGCAAAGTGGTCCACTTCTTCATCAACCTCACCATGTACGCCAGCAGCTTCACGCTTGCTGCCGTCTCTGTTGACCGGTATGTTGACCATTATCTTTCAATCCTAAGAGAAATTATTTAATTATGTATATAAACACACTACAACATATTATACAACACAGCAATTTTTCATTTCCACCTACCTACAAGGCAATTATGTGACATTTGAAAGTAACATACAATTATCAAATGACCTTGAAATAAGTAGCCTGTTGTAAAGAAATAGCGTTTGATGATTAAGGCCACATTTCTCATAGAGCCATTTGCTTACTTTGGAAAAGGTTGTTGCTAATAGGGCTGCAGTTACAGTAATGGTTATTTCCATTATTCATTAATCTGTCAATTATTTTTGCATTTAACCACTTAATTGGTTTAGTTGAAGTTCTCAAAGCCCAAGATGATCTTCAAATTGCTTGGTTTGTTTGACCTACAGTCCAAAACCCAAAAGTATTTACAACGACATAAAACACAGAAAAGCAGCAAATATTCACATTTAAGAAGAGAATGTTCTACATTTTCACATGATAAATGACATAAACTGTGAATTGATGATAGGTATTGCTGATTAATATTCTGTGGCTGGACTAATTGAACTGAGCAGTAGTTGATCATCTTCATACATATGGTTTGCTTTACGCTCCTGTACAGGGTGTTGTAAGTGTCAAGATTCATGAGGGAAAATGCATGATAAATCCGTTATAGCGTTCATATAAGGTCTCAAATTACAACTTCATGCACTCATAGCTGTTTTGTTGAATCAGCTGTGCAACCTTTATTTTTCCCCTTTAATATTCCTTTGCTACAATGATCAAATTACTTAATTTATTCATTCATATTAATAGCTGTAGGATTCACCTTTATTTTATTCACCACACCAACTCAAACAACACTAAAACAGACAAGATGTTGATGCCAATGCTGCCAGGGATGCTAAAAGGATAAAGGCAAAGTGTTAAAACACCTTTGCCGCTACAGAAGCCAGACATGCAGCAGCTTACCTGTGGGCCACCAGGATACCCTAACACAGCTTATACTGGTGCGCCGCAACCTAAACACAGCAAATAACACACAAAAAACAACACCAACAAAAGGGCTAGAGTCTAATAAAAAGAATCCACATATAAAATCAGGACACAAATGGCAGCAGTTGATCAGACAGGGAAAATAGTAGTGGCTATACAACCCTAAAATTATAAGAATTTAATTAACACATACCACAAAACATATATCTGCAAAATGTACCTCAAACAAAGCAGTAAATGATCAATGCAGCTCTGACTCCAACAAGGACTGGACATTTAAGGCAGCTGCAATGTAAACCAATGTTTCCACAGGCCACCTACAAACACATAGTACACACACTAGTAAAATTGCATAGCTCTACTAGATGGCATCTTTTTACCTCAGGGTATCAACCTCCAATGCCATCTCTGCGGTGAACTCTAGCATAACAGGCCATCCGGTTTCAGGGTCTGGGCGATAGGTGGCGTAAAATGCCTGTAATAAAAAAAAAAAATAATAATTAAAAAGTGTTCTCAAAAGTTAAAACAGAGTCAGCCTTGTATACATCTACATGTTGCTGCATGACCCAGTGGTCTTTATGTTACATTTAAAATCTAGGGAGGTGGAAATTGAGAGGTAGTATGGAAGCGAGAATGGTGCGGTAAACCAAAAACATCTAGCAGGTGCCAATTGTCAGATCAAGAACAAGAATGGACAGACATGATTAAGTTTAACAGAAGACCCCAAGAGATAACCACTACTTATCTGAAATCTATTCCTGCATGCAAAGTCATGATGTGATACTTTGATTACTAAATATTAAACAAAGTAAAATAATAAAAAAATCACGTTCCACTCTTGTAAATTTGACATAAAGACCACGCAGGTCACGCAGCAACATGTAGGTGTTAATTAATCGCATGATTCAGTGAATCAATGAATCATGCATTAGTTAAGGATATACTTAGACGTGTTGTACCCTTATTATAAATTGGTACCCTTGCATGGATTCTCAGTGATAGTATTTATAGATGGAAATCATATTAACGTCTCTATAGTATGAACAGATTTCATAAGACAACAATTGTCAAGCCTCAAATCATTAAGGAAAGCTGCAAGAAAGCTTTTATTTAAATCCACACTGTCTGTTCATGCTATGAATTATATTATTTACTGCTTCATCACATCGTTTCACGGTATGGTGCATTTAATTAATTACAAATGTATTTTTCTCATCTGAAGATTTTTTTAAAACTACTGTGGGAACATCCAGAACAGACCCCAGAGGTACACATCAGACATCAGAGGACCCATTAGACCTTACAGAGATGCTGGAATTGTAATTAAATATCTTATGAGAGAATCATACATTATCCCTGGCTGAAAATTATACCCCATTGAGAGTAAGCTGTAAGTCATCATAACTATTGGCCAACATTGTCAGCTCAGTCAATATGGACAGAGTAAGTGTGCAGCTGACCTCTGCAGCGAATGCCCTCTGATCACATTGGCTGTGTTTACACTTTAGAGGATTCAATAGATTTTTCAGTCTGCAAGCCAGACAATTCCTCCTCAGTCTAGAAAAGAGCAGGAACATCTAAGTTGGGAGGTTAATGACTTTTGTCTGTTTTCCTCTACAGTTCCTGTGTAGCAAATAAAAAGAAGCAGCAGCTGATAGTTACACTATAGACCAGGAATAAAATCACAGTTCAACCTGAATGAACAGCAGCACACACACACACACACACACACACACTTTTTATAATTGAAAGCATTTTCTTCTGCAGTGTGCTACCCACAGGCAGATCATATGTTTAAGAAATATCCAAACTGTGAAAATGATTCCATATACAACAAAACAATTTGCCATTATTACTTCTAACCAGGGGGTTAATGTGCACTTGTAATACTTGAGATCTGGTAACATGTAACTGAGGTAACAAAATTCAACATTCATGCAGTCTCCAATGCCTAAACATTTATTTGAAAAAGTCCATATAGAGACCTATATTACCCTCTTTGTTTAAATGTATGTCTGTTGAGGCTGCAGTCATACATAATGCATAGCAGTTTGTATCTATTTGAGCAAAGATTTGATCAATGTTACATTTCTGCAAACATTGGGAAAGAAAATACTGGAACAGCATCTGGGTTATAGAAGTGGGATTGTGAAGTGAGAGATACTCTGAGATTTAATCATGGGCTCAATTTCACAGAAAATGTGGTGATTGTTATTCATTCAATCTTTACAGACTGCTTTTCTACATTTTAATTGGTAGTAGTTGATTTAGCAAAACTTAAACAAAAACAAAAAAAGCAAAGCATCTTGTCAAACCTTGCCTTTTCTTTATATAAATCAGAAAACTTCAGCCAAGCATACAGAGTGGTGTCTGAGTTGTTCCACTGAGCTTCCATATGTGACAAGTATGTTCAAGGTATCTGCTTTTTTCCTTTCAAGTGTCTTTGGCCCCATTTCAGTGAGGTTTCAAAGACCAGAGAGGCTTTTTCCTTTGATTCTGGAGAGCTATTTCAAGTGTCCTGTAAATGTGGAAGGGGAGGACATGGATTTGCAGCTTCACCCAGAATCACTGTCTTGGGAAAGGCAAAGGAAAAAAAGCTTCTGTACCTCAAGTACACTCTATCCATCAGAAAGCATTGGCTGCATGTTGAATATGAAGTTCAGCTTCACATGTTCAAAGATAAACAAACTGAGTGACAATGAGGCAATAACTTCAGCAATTATAGCTGGAAAGCAGTGCGGTGTTAATTATTGAAAGCCATTGGTGCCATAAAAACATCTGGCTCTTTTTTTTCACGATAGAACATAGTGTGTGGGATTTGAGCCTTTATCGCCTACCTGCTCCGCAACATCAAATGCACAGCACCAGGCACAGTCATGTTCTCTGCCATTGTCATGATTTTACCAAGTGATGCATGCAAAATCAGATCCTATTGAAATTCCCACAAAACCTATTTGCAGCCACTACAGTGCTTTTTATTCAATAAACACCCCAAACCATTGTGGTGCGACTGATTATCATCCAACACAGAACCCCCAGTATGCTTGTGACAGTGAGTGTAGAGGTGGCAGCACCTGTGTTGGATATTCCCTTGATTATTAAAGTTATCAAGTTATTAAGTTATCAAAAATCAATTTTCATCATGTCATCTTCACTCATGCTGCGGTGGCAGTGGGGGGCTTTAATGTGTAAACTTCTGCTTTTAGCAAGGCAATACATTTTGTTGCAGTGGAAAAACCTTACAACATCACAAAATAGTACACAGAAATATTTAAGGTTTTTCCTGAGGAACATGTCGCTGCTATAATAGGGTAATGACAACCTATTTTAGAATATTTGGCAACCCTTCCTTGATTTTCTTTTTCGCTTTGTTATCACAAATAACTCATATACATACTCATATACAATACAGTTTTTCCTTTGACATGGCACTAATGTATATAGAAATGTATATCATGTCATTCATATGTAAGCCAATGCAACACATATTGTTGTATTATAATTGATATATGTTTTCTTGTTTTGCAATTTGGTTCTTTGTTTGTGTAAAGAAATAATACAATTTTATAAAAGACAATCATAAAAGCTAATGACTGACACAAAACTGTAGCTTTCCATTTTATTAACCCTTAGAGGGATTTGGTTTCGGCAAAACAATTTCATCATCAAAACACTGAGAAGAAATCTGGACAGCATGGTATACAATAGTACCCATTGGCTAATGAACTAGTAAATGTTTTCACTCTTGTGATAATATTTACAATATGTCCATGAAATAGATTTTAGTTTAAGAATCAAGATTTTTATATGAAGCTTTCATTTTTGCTTTAATGATCAGAATAGTAGAATGATTATATTCTTTTAGCCTATAATTATCATACCATAGCACACTGGTTCAGCATGTCCACTATTTATCATGTTCATGTGGTTTGAATCACATGTTAATGTTTTATTTTGTCTCTTTGTAGATATCTGGCCATTCGTTACCCGCTGCGTTCCAGAGAGCTACGAACCCCATGTAACGCAGTAGTTGCCATGGTGATCATCTGGGGCCTTTCCCTGGTCTTTGCGGGTCCTTACTTAAGCTACTACGACCTGATTGATTTCGACAACAGTACTGTGTGTATCCCTGGCTGGGAGGAGCAGAACCGGAAGGTGCTGGACACGTGCACCTTCCTGTTTGGCTACATCATCCCTGTGCTGATTGTGAGCCTCTCGTACACTCGAACCATCAAGTACCTGTGGACGGCCGTCGACCCTCTGGACGGCATGTCGGAATCTAAGAGGGCCAAACGCAAAGTCACCAAAATGATCATCATTGTCACCGTGCTTTTCTGCATATGCTGGCTGCCCTACCATGTGGTGATCTTGTGCTACCTGTATGGAGACTTCCCTTTCAATCAGACCACGTATGCCTTCAGGCTTCTCTCTCACTGCATGGCCTACGCCAACTCTTGTGTCAACCCCATCGTGTACGCTCTGGTGTCCAAGCACTTTCGCAAAGGCTTCAAAAAAGTGTTCAGCTGCATCCTCAGCAAAAATGGCAGAAATAAGGTTCATGTGGTTCATGTAGCCAACACTGTGCCTGGGTTTGAAGCAGGCTCCACAGAGGTGTCGCAAATGAATGAGGAGAACATACGACAGAATGAATGTGAAATGATTAACAGGCCGATCCCAGAGCCAAGAGAAGCCACAGTGACACTGAATTTGCCCCTTCAGCGGCAGACTTGACAAGTGATTCAGCTTTGCTGACAGGCTCACTACAGATTGCCTTATGTGAAAGACATTGCAGCTAACTTTTTCTTAATGAGTGAATGTCTCATCATGATATTCACATTTTTGGTGGCAAACAGGAGAGGAGTTGAAAGGAATCATGCACAAACATATTTACACAGACAAAAAGAACATTAAGATTTATACAGTTAGTCCACAACCAAAAATATGTTTGTTTCATCACTTATCAAAACACTTTTTTTTGTCAAATACTACTTCCCATAATGTTCCACTAATGCTGGTTTCAAACGCAAGAGGATTTTTAAACTCGCATTGCTTTCATCGTATGAGTTAGACCGCTGTACTACTCACACAAGTGTTCACACAAAAAGCTACAATGTGAATAAATGCCAACCCACCATTACTTCAGCTGTATGAACCCAAAACAAACATTTTGCTGTGATTTAATTGCAATAAACAGATCAAACTAATGCCGAAATAACTGATGCCGATTTGTTAATAATATTAAGTCATGCTTCCTTGGGTCTGTCAGCAATATTACAAGCTTGCAACTTTAGAAGTGCTTGCAACTCGGTTGTCAGAGCAGAATTCAGTCCAACTGCAGGAGTTTATTTGCCCAAAGATCCAGCACCGCCGCCGGGTCTGTCCTCCAGAGCTCCCCTTAGCTCAGCAGCTCTTTGTGGGCGAGCTGCGGCTCTATCCCGCCGCTCTGCCCCGTGTCCTCTACACAACACACTCTGAAGCCGTCGGTGACGTCCAGACAGTCTGAATGCTGATAGGACTATCGCGACACAGCGTCATGCGAATGTCATGCTCGAGTTAAAATTTTTTAACTCACACAATGGATTTATCGCATGGCCGCGCACTGATCACTTTGACTTTGAAAGTAATCCTCCAGCGCTGGCATTGGGTTTTGTGTGAAACCAGCATAACAGACATCAATTGGTCAGAAGGGTTTGTATTTACTAAAAGTGAAAAATTCTCAGTATTTCCTGTGTCCACCATTTGCCTTAACCACAGCTTGCACTTTTTTTCAGTATTTAAAAATCCACATTATCCTAGCACTTTTTAAGAGCAGCACAGAATGTGTCTCATAATGTTACAGTACAGTATGTTTCACCTTTTCCCTTTTCAAATGGTTAGCAGCTGTAGGGGGAAATTGATGTAGACATTTGACTTTAGAAACACTGAAATGCAGGTTTATAAAGTCCAAAGGAATGGCATTCCTCTGCAAAGTGGTGCTTATCCTCCGCTCATGTGAAGTCCATCCTGTGCAAGTAAACTGTCACCACAGTATTTCCAACATTATATTTAACTGTAGGTTTGTCAATTTCTTATGTGGTCTTTTCCTCACATAAGTGTAACTGCAGCTGTAATCTTCAAAGTCAGATTCATCTTCTTTGACTAGTTTTGAAAGTACTAGAGCTAGTATCAAGTCTTTCTAATTGGAGCAGAATGTTATTTGGTCCTTTTGGTCTCTTTTGTATCTTGCATGCAGATGCTGTTCTGTCTTGTCAAGATAGTACTTTTATTACTGGTATATTTAAATTGACGTAAAAATCTTCTTGTGTAAACATGGTATTCAGTTGTATTTCAATTTCATACGCGCATTGCAAATCTCAAAATTTGCACTGGAATACATTCTGCTGTAAGATGCTCAAGAATCAGGTGTCAAAAGTTATACATTGAGTAAACAGTTCTCGAAAGAAGAGTCTTTTCGGACTCCACAAGAAAACCTTTTTTTGACTAACTTGTATTTTGTAATGATTGTATTCATGGCATGTTTCTCTTTGGTGTAAAATATCATATTTAAATGAATATGTTTATCAATGAGTGCACTTAAGCATTTAAGAGTTGTGTATTTTGTGTATTAAAATTTTTTGAAGCTGTGAAATGATATGATGTTTGTTTAGTTTAATTCTCCAAATGAAGGCGGATCCTCAGTATCTCGCTCTCTCGATGTTTCACTGTAAGCTTGTGTCCTACCTCAAAGCTGTAAAAAGAAAAATCTTCTTGCCTAAAAGCTGTATTCTGCTCAGATTGTGTAAAATGGAATTTTCCTCTTTCCACACAGAAAATTTTCCTTTGAACTGATCAGTTTTCGTCCAGTGTGTCTACTGTGATTTTCCCCTTTACATCTACAGTATATAGTTAAGTGTCTCTCTGTTTGTTCTGTTTAATCATGTAGCATTATTAAACGTTACAGCCTGCAGACTTTAAGAGCATATATATTTAAATAAATCTTTATCAAAAATGGTTTAGAAAATGTAATACACACTGAAATGACAAAAAAATATTTTCTGCTGTGAGTCTGTAGTGGAGGTTTTATTCAACTCAAAATATGCATACAAGTTAAGTGAGTGAATAGAAAGAAATTATAACAATTTATGTATTACCAAACATAAGCTCCTGCATAAAAATCTGAAGTGAAAGGACGTCTTCTTAGGATTACCTCACACTTCAACACTGAGATACAATGAATTTGTTAGGTTTTCCATTAATGCAGATCAGTGAACGATCCATTGACTTCTAATAAAAGTATTTACATGCTATAGCTTTACTCTCTATCATGCTTCACTAATTGTTTTGTCTGTTTGAGTGTCACAGCACCGCAGGACATGGATATTGAGATGGTCTCGCCATGCACACGCTTAGGCTTAAGTAATAATTTATAAAACTAATTAGCTGACTGAATTAAACTATTTTTAGCTTGTACAGCACTGTACAATATTTAGTGACTCCGTTCTCATATTGACTTTTATAGCACAGCACAAAGGCTCTAGAAAATACTGTAAGAACAAAGTGTGTTCCTAGTGTGCTTACTTATCTAGAGCCCAACAATGTAAATGTTTCTGGAAATAAGAGCTGTTACCACCACAAATGGGATTCCCTTCTTCTACCAAAGCTAGGTCCACACCTAGATACCATTAAAAGATAGACAGATAGATAATAGTTTTTTATAATCCCAAACAATTCTGCTGTGCTCAGCTTTGGGTGTGTATTGAGTGACAATGTCAGAGCATTGTAGCAAAATATCAACTCTGTATGGAAATGTAAGGACTATGTTCCAGAAAGACAGAAAATATCAATTACTTTATTTTTCTCATATACTTTAATCATACCAGAGGGGAAATTTGTTCTCTCCATTTAATTTAATTCGGAGCAGTGGGCAGCTATTGTGCAGTGCCTGGAGAGCAGTACAAGTTCAGGGCTTTGCTTAAGGGCACCTTCGGCAGTTGTCCATGTTGGACTCAAACTGGTGCCCCCATGGACTAAGCTAATGCCGCCTACCCTTTTTTTCCTATTTGCTTCTAACTCTGCATATTTACTTGTTGCCTTAGGCCATTAACTTCTGTTGTCTGCTGCCAGAGTGACAGATGATATTAACAAGTGCAGCACAACAGAGCAAATCCCCAAGAGATCACTGCTTCTCTGGGTGTTGAGCGACTATGCTGCACTTAAAAGAAGACACTAATTAATAAATTCAGCTCTTGTTATCTCAAAAGAAGATATTGATATTACAAAATGATGTTGAAAATTTGCTGTGTTGAAAATGTTCTTATACTGGATATCTGTTGCAACAGCAGGACAAAAAAAAAGGAGGGAAATGATCAATAACCTTTGATGCTGTACAAACAAATGGGACAATAACCATGCTACATACAGCATATACACAAGCTTTGGTTTCAGACGTGCTGGATGACCTGAGAGATCTGACCCATAAGTGATCAGAGGTGTAAGGCCTTAGCAATAAACACATCTATAAGATATAGCTACCTTACAATCCTTAATGGAAGACCAGAGAAAGGGACATTGCAATTATCCACTGATCCATATAAAAAGCTTAATCCAAAAAGTGTTGTTCATTAGTGTGATAAACTAATGGATGTTTTGGACAGTGTGTGTTCATGTTTATCACACATTGCCATCAATGTGTCCACAGGCCTGTGGAATAGAGTGTACTACTGGGATAATTATAAACTGTTTTAGTGGTTAATGAATCAGTCAATGAGTTACAGTGTTTTTAATTGCTTATTTTATGAACCTGTTGCAGTTCTCAACATCAAGAACTATCACACATTTAATTCTTTCACAATTTCCCTCTTCATGAGCAGCCTTCTATCCTGCTCTGATGTCTATCAGAGTCAATAGAGAAGCAGTGTAATACATTTTACTCATGTGCATAACTGGGTATATTTCAGATATTTGAACAGGTAGATTTGATTTTAATGTGAGAGCAACAAGAAATGCATATACTGTTGCAAGAAAATGAGCTGTGGATTTGAGCATTGCACACCGTGTTCTTAGAATCATGACTTTCATCCAACTAATTATGCCAAAGCTCCTGTGACGCATGTAAAAACAATGTTTTTGCTGAAGTGTTTTTGAAGTTGGGACTCATTAACTTGATCTCAGTTTTGTTGGATTTAAGAACCTTGTGGACACTTTTAAAAAGCAGCTCACACCCTTGCTTTTGCTTAGTTTTACTTATTTATTTTTATTGATTTCTGTATTGTGTCTATATTTTATGCCCTTTTTTTGTGAAGCACTTCTACAAAGATGCTATATCAAATCATTTAGCTTACTATTACTTACTAAAGAAAAACTTCTGCTCGCGATCTGAGATTGAAAGAAGTAAACAAAAGTGTTTGATGTTCAGCTACTAACATTAGTGTCAAAGAGGCCTTGGTAAATAACCACTTTGCATACAAAGCTTACAGTGATATTCAGCAAGAATATAAAAAAACAACAAGAAAAGAGAAAATAAAAGTGCTGCTAACAAGTACTAGTACAGTAAAACTACAGTGGTACATCTCTGACAGAAATCCAATCATAATCGCAAGTAATTATCTTGTCATTTCAACAACAGGTGTTCTTTTTCTTGTTCTATCTATCTATATATATGCATATATATTATTATATATATTTTAAATTTAAATCTCGCTGTAGCCTAAATTCTTGTGATCATTATAAAGATTCATTCAGGATCAACAATTGATTGATGATTATTCATGATCTCATGAACATAATTATACTGTGATTATGACCTCTTTGGCTTTCTGCAGGACTGACAGCAGATGACAAAAAGAGACACATTGACGGCTCCATTATCAGAGAATTGAGAAGTACCACCGCTGAGGAAACAAAGCTTTTACCAAAACACATCATACACTTAGATAACTAAATGTGTGTCTAGAAAGTGGGGTTAGAGTGGGTGTTCTTTTTGTGAATTTATGTGATGTAGCTGCGGAAATAAGGCTTGTTAGGTTGGAAGTAATTGAAGGAAATTTATGTTTACGTCACTAACAACGTTGATAGGGTTTATGTCGATTCTATGGTTGCTCAGGAAACCACGCTGCAATTACTCTAAGGACAGAGCCATGTTGCAGTTGGTAGACAGTTTTGCAGCTTCATTTTTTCAACAGTTTTGCTGAAAAAATGCTGCTTTAGGGTCTGCCTTGACATTGATGCCTTAAGTTAAGCACGGACTTGTCCGCTCGATTTTCGCACAAAATGAAAATGATGCCACACACCTCTGTGAAGCTAGGAGGCTCAGCCAGAACGTCAAATCAACCATTTTTATCCATAAAACATAAATCGCTCTGCAATCACTGTGTATGGCTACAGTTATTGCCATCCAGATATCTCTCATCACATCCTACACCGCAGTCCGATCACTAGAAAGCTCAGCTCCAGTTCTGATCAGCTATGTAGCTCATATCACTCAAATTACTATCTCACAGACGTATTAGCCGGATAATAATAACAAGAAACACACCAATATACATTTACAATTACAACTGCTGCCTTAAGTTTGATGTTTTCACTGTTTTCAGTCCAAAAACAGCTGTTTTCTTTGTGTGAAAATATCTCCCGGGCGGCCATCTTGGTATTGCGCAATCCCTGAGCTCATTTCTCTCGTCAATATGAAGGAGAGAAGTGTTACTTTGGAACAGACAGTCTTTATCGTCGTCTACTGGCCAACACAGACATCCAATATATAAATGATTCGTCTGCTCAACATGAAGAGAATGAGCCCATCAGCCCTGTAGGATGTTCTGTTTTCAAGTTGTAGGCCTGTAAAGCCTACAGGGAGTGCTTTTGGTTATTGGAATGTTGATCAATATTCATTGTTTTTATCAATATCTCAATGTTTTGGAAGCTTTATGTTATTTGGAACGTGGTTGTATGAAAAAGTGTTTTGAAGAAAACTCCCAGCAAAAGTGAACATATAATATGGGCTAAACAGTAAATACGGGCTAAACATGAACATTAACTTGGTATATTTTGGAAAATTGTGTAATAACTGTTGTATATTAGTTTCTTTTCATCAAATTTACAGTTAGTTGTATTCCAGGTGTATTAGAAGATATTCATTTGCATTATAATCTACAGGATGATGGTTTTGATGGTGATATTGAAACTATTAAAATATAGATTTTATACCAGGCGAGGATGAAAATATCTCCATCTCCATTTAGTCTTTAATGGAATTGATTCATATTCCTTAGCTTCTGACCTATCAAAGGAGACCAGAATTATGCATCTAGGCCTAATGTTCGAGGAGTTATTACAGATTCATTTTGGGTATGTTATTTTTTTCCTGGAAATAGGTTTCTGTTTCCAAGAGGTTAAAAACAAACAAGCAAAGAATTCAACAAGATCTTCTGGTTTAACAATTTGAAAAACAATTCTACTTCCAAGGTGCCAACGGGAAATTAGATTTCTGTGTTAAGTTACATTTTGGTGATTACCCAAAGTGAATGCTTCTTCTTTTTCTAAAATAGGCTGCGAGTACATTGCATTTAGCAGTGGTGACGATTTGTTGAAACAGAGTGAACCTACAGCAGCCCAAAGACAAGGAAAAACTAATAAACTTTAGAGGAAGCAATTCAAAGGCCTCACCTCTCTCCAAGATGTAATTTGAGCTGTCAAAGGAAGTGATTGGTTTATGAGACAGTAGCCAGTAGTAGAGTTACAATTGGTACATTGATGTTCTCTGTAGGTTTTGGAAAAACCTGGAAGATGAGGTGTTTCATTCAGGTGATTTTTTGTGCTACTTTCTTTAATCATGATATGAAAATATTTGTAGGAACATGCTGTAGTCAGAAGTTCACGGCTTAAATAACTAGCTGCATATGACTTAATTAAATAGTTATATTATCAAAGACACAGTAAATCTAAGATCTGCAACATCTGTGTATGTCCCTGGGTGTGATACTTCTGATGAAAAAGCAGTTTGATTTTGTCAAGCAATGTTTTATGTCAGTCTCCCCTCGTTGACGATGTTGTTTGTCTTATTTCACCATGAACTGTTAAAGGGGTGGGGGAGCTAAACCATGCAGTATTGTATAAAGCAAACAAACATTGTCCATAAACAAAAACTCAAGTTGTATTTTCCTATAATATTGCAATAGTGGAATGACTTTAAGAGCTTGTTTAAATAAAAGGGTTAGTATTTTTATCGTACAGGCTGGCCAAGAGGTGGCACAATAAGACAGATGTGATATTAGGTGTGTTTGACTTCATGCGTGCTTTGCAGCGCTGACTTAACATAAGGCATGCTGGACTCAACATAATGCATGCTGGTTAGAAATTTAGTCCGACTTTCACCAGTGCTGCAAAATGTCACCATGTCACATGACATTAAAACCTTACGGGAACAAGGCAGCTACAGTTGTCCAAGTCACATGACCACAGTTGTTTTTTTTGCTTGATCTTGCGGCATTTGCAAAGACAAATGGGAGATCAGTCATTGTTCTAAGCTCACGCAGGTAGAATGTGTCTGATTTGACGGCGGCTACCCCTCCCCTGCAGTCGCCTGCATCCCATGTTTGACTATCAAGTTTGCGAAAGTCAGCTGCAGTACTCTCAAAGGCACCTAATATTATATAGTTAATTTCATGCAGCCTACATCATATCTACACCCTTAAACTATGTTTGATTTACCTGAAGATATACATGGTATGTTTTTTTTATTTAAGTTTGAATCCATAATCAAGCTGAAATACTTAACTGAAGTATAAATACTTGACTGATGGTTTTCTCCATTCACTAAGATCTCGGGACTGAGAGTGTTGACTTTTTTGAATTAAGAACAGTCTTGGGCACATTTAAAAGTCTGAAATAGCCAGTGAGCCATTTTCTCCATAGCTCTTTTGAGTTCTAAAGGCACTTGCTGTAAAAGATACATATATGAACGAACATATATGACAGTGTCATCTGCATACATTTGTATCTGGACATCAGCACAGATGATTGACAAATCATTGATATAGATACTTAACAACAGAGGTCATAAATGGACCCCAACAGTACACAAAGGGAGACTGATGGCAGTTTACATTACTTTTACATTTGTTCATTTAGCTGACGCTTTTATCCAAAGCAACTTACCATTGCTATACATGTCAGAGGTTGCACGCCTCTGGAGCAACTAGGGGTTAAGGGTCTTGCACCATTGCGCCATCACCTCCACATTATCCTAATGCTGTTTTGTAGGTTATCTATATATGATGGCATCCAGTTTATTGTGCTATCAGATATATCATGTTGCGATAGTTTTCAATTTATAGTTTCTGTAGGATGATTTGTTCTAAAACCACATTGCATTGGATCAAGTGGATGATTACACAAATTCACTTGCTATAGTAATTGAAAAGCCACCACCTTCTCCAAGACTTTAGATAAAAAGTGATTTCTTTAATTTTCCTCCACAGGGTGCTTTAAGGCATTAACTAACCAGCATGTTAATATCACCCAAAGAGGTTGTTCAAATGAGCCTGTGGAAGCACAACTAACACAACATAGCGGCAGCAGCAGTGTGGCCTTGCTCCAAACATCCTGTTCCTATACAGCTCTCCTGAGTATGAAGCATTGATTAGCTTGTACAAGTCAAGGTAAAAGCAGCACAATTCCTGGTAATCTCTGCATCTGATCATCATTATTTATTCTAAATCAATAGGTTAACAGCCAGCAGTGCTTGTAGGGCATCAAGCCTCTAACCCACTCAGATATAAGGTCAGTGCAGGTTATTCAGCAGGATTTCACAGTGAAACTCTTAAGTTCTGGTTCTACATTCAGTATCCACATTGATCCACAATATACTTTCTGTATATCATTTGATAGGCTTGCCCTGGAGTTATACACAGTTTATTGAACATTACCAGTAAGCTAGGAGTGCCCTCTTCAGTCTGATGCATAACAATGCAGTTCTGCTCAACTACAAAAACAAATGCTTTATGTATATATTATTCTGTTGTTTCAGTATGTCAAGGCACCCTTTAAATGATCACCTACACAAATAAAGTAATCTGCCACATTTTAAAAGCTCTTGGGTCTACTGGCAATGCACAACAGAACTACCAGTGCAGGCCTTTTAACCTGTGTTTGCCTGCAGCATATGACGATGAAGGGTGGGCCAAGTACACTCAAAACTCAAGCTCTGGTTTATTGCATGTATTTATTGTCCAGGTACCTTTAAATGGTAACCATGCTAGTTAGCGAACAGGTCCAGGGTACTGAATGTGCTGACATGGCTGCTGACAATTTACGTTGTACATATTTACATAGAAAAGGTGGAATAGTGACAAAAATGAAACAAGAAACACTTTGCAAACTAAAAAAACAGAAAAATAAAGCTAGTCCCTGGTATTTATGTCCCCACATCTGTCTGAAAGTCACACTGCAGACATCATTAGCATAGTAATAAAAGGCACTGATATTTAATATATACATTACATTGATCTTAAATAAGGGAAGTTTACTTTTGGGGCTTTCACAGTAAAAATCATAACAGATATGATACTCTATATTTCTAATAGGAAATAAACAATGAAAATCAAGATGACACATAGTTCTTAACTTGATGTACTCAAAAATGTATAATTTAACAGGCAAAGAACCACTGGAGGTAAATGCAGTGCAATTTAACAGATAAAAGACCTCTGGAAGCAAATGCAGTAAATATATTTAAGTTAAACTGATTTAAATTAATCTAAAAATAAGGCAGCATCAAAAAAAATGCAAAGAAAATTACAAATTCCTTACACTGGGTTTCTATGCAACAATACATACAATACAGCACTCTAGTTTCAAGGTCCACTTTTCTTTCTTTTATTCCATATAAAAAAAGGCTTTTATGATAACACATTCCTCATTATGGACTACGAATGAAGAGGTACTGATAGAAAACGTGGTGGCCTTAATGTCATGTAGCCTCCCCTGCTGACTATGTGCCATGATTTTTTGTTTCATGTCAGTTTGTTGTATTCCAGTGCAAAAGAGTCATTTACATTGCCAAATAGATGGAACGGGAAACATAAATTGGCAGAGACATTTTTTCATTATTTCAACAACATCTAAATGAAGTGTCCCAATCGAATGTCTGGTGTTCAACTTTTAAAAGCTGATGTCCAGATGTATCAGAAAACTGCATATCATCATCATATACACCTTGTCAATTGCAAAACACGTTGTGGAGCTTCAATGTTTAAACATAAAAAACATAACAAGAATATCATATAATAAGTGCAAGAGGAATATCAATGTGAAAGGGTAATTGTACCTACAATAACTACCATCGACTTTCCTCTTTGGTGTAACGTGATCTATCAAGAGTAGATCATTTGCACTAAACAATCAATTCCTGCTAGGCACAAGATGTAGTGGTCTACAGATAAGAGATTAAAAGTTTAAGATGGTAAATCTTGGGGATCATAGAGATTAACCAAAAAAAACAAAAATACATAAAAACTTGATAAACATAATTGCAATATTTCAGTGTCTGTCAACTCCTGTTGAGAAAATCTGTGATAACAGAACTTCAGGGAAATCTGAATATGTTCAACTCTCCTCTACACTGTTAAATGGTAGAGCACTTAAACTAGGCTTAAATATGCCTTTGTCATCATTGCAAAAGATCAATCGATGATAGTCTGATGACATTCACCAGCCTTTTCATTCAAATGCTTTGATATGCCCTTAAATGACCAGGTTGAAGGGACACTCTGCACTGCAAGCATGAACAAGTGTGCAAGTCTACAAGTGGGGAAGCTGCTCTTCTGTTTCATTAACACTAACCTCTAAATGCTGAAGGCAGTACTTGACTTTAAACTGGGAATGAATACGAACCCCAACCCGTGTCATTCAATGTTTAACTGCAAATAATTGGCACTAGTTTAAATAAGGTAAAATTACTCATTCACAATCAGGATTAAAATTAAAAACATTTACTTAAACAGGCTTTTAATAACCTGACTGTCCGTATGTGTATTATGAATTGAGTTTTTTTTTTTGAGTTCATAAATGCCAGGTATAGTTTTTGGATTAGGGCAACACTATTATAAACCAACTTGCATAGATATTCACCTTGTAATTCCAACCATATAATTATTTCTTTTACAGTTTCACTGCTTCTACTGTGTTATTCCAAGGCAATTTTCTTAAAACTTAAATGGGTTGTGGATTAAACAATGCAGTAAAATACTGTACATTAAATAGCCGTTGGTTGCATTTACATGCAGCATTCACCAAATGACCAGGAAAATAAAACAACCTATACAATATAGTAATAGCATGTAGTAATAGGGGGTAAGGGCAGATGAGCGAGTTATTCTTTTTTATATATGTCTGTGTATTGTGTTTATGTTTATGTATATGTACTGTGTGGTTAACTTTTGTGCAGGACCAACTCGAAAATGACATGATACATCTCAAGGGGTTATCCTGAAATGAATTCAATTCAATTCTTAATGCAACCCAATAAAATTGCCAAGAACAACTTTGTTAATTTAATGATGTTCAATTTATCTTGCTACTGTGTCAGAGAGGAACTCACTCCATGGTAATCGCCTACGGTCATTTCTTACGTCTGAGTTTGTGATGATGTATTGGATTGCATTAGTCTTTCTTATTCGGTTTATTTCGAATCCATTAGACAAAATTTAAGGCTCAAATCACCATAAATGACGAAGCTCTTCTTAAAAGTACTATTTTAAGACACTGGGTTGTCTTGGATTACAGTTCACACTGTACATACTGTTCAAGGGTTTAGATTTTTCTGGTCACAAGTTTGGTGCTGCAGAAATTTATGTTGCAGCCTACGTTGAGACATAGTAAGTGGTATACTATACAATGAAAGTGCAGCCTGACTGAATGCAACAAAATAAAGTACTGGTAAATAAAGTATTAAAAGCACTAAGACGAACACAAACATTAGGATCCAGAAGGCTCTTACCATGAATGAGAACAAATAAAAATCAGCCCTATAAGGGATTATGATCGTCTTCAACAGGGGCGACACTCCTGCTTCAATAGGATTGAAAATGAGCATTTTAAATACTTAAATAGATATAAAATTTTGTTATCTTTTAACACAAAATGTACACATCTGGTACCAATAGATATAAAATTACAAGTGTGGTTACTTTAGAAAGGACACCCTCTGATACATCATATCAAAAATATGTAGCTTTAGTAGCACTTTTGTTCTTCATTTATCTAGGAAACTTTACAATGCTACAATACACTCCAAAGAAGTGAATGAGGTCTTTTTTTTCTTCTAGTCCAATGTCACTGCAGTGGTGTTACTGAGCCTCTAAAGTCACAAGTCATCCGCTGTGACCACTGCTTCGCTCTTAACCTCTACATCCACTTCTACTGTATGACTTTCTTCTCCGCTCGTCCGGGCGCAATCCTAAAACACTTCCTCTTCGCCATCCAGTCGCTCCTTAGTCCATAATACGCTGGCTTTATAGACTCCTTTGTCTTCAACATGCACATTTCAATCAATTTTTTCCACTTTCCCGATAATCTTCTCCTCAAAGATGGGCAAGATAGCATCATCTTCACGTACCTCTTCAAACACCACCCCACAGTCAAACTCATCGCTTACCTTCTTGAAATAATACCTAAAAAAATAACAAGGCGAAGGAACAAAGTTAACTTCTCCAGGTGAAATGCTGTGACCTTTACTTACATTTTCCCGGGCAGACAACTCTTGGGTTATCTTAATGAAACAACATCAGAAACTAGTTTGAGGCAATGAAGTTAAAATATTCATCAGACAAATATAAAGTTTAATCAGTAATTCATGCTATAAATCATCATACCTCTATAATTTGTCAAAAATGCATCTCTGATGCAGGAACTGTGGCCTTTCAGAGTTTCTAAAATTCAATTGCATCTACTCAAAGATAATCCACAAATGTGTTATTCACTTGAATAAAAATCCCACCTTCAATCACAACACCCCTCCATTAGGCCAGTGTTAACAGACACAGCCTGAAGCATGGACCCACCCACATGTGAGCGTGATTTGGGAAGTTATTTTAAGGTTTTAAGAAAACCCCACTTCTACCTGACAATTTTATTTATTTGGCATGGATGAACTACTGTAATATCCGTTGCCATTCATACCCCAGACAACTACAGCTGTAACAACATCTTAAGGACTATAAATTATGCTATGTTTCAGCTGCTCTTAGACAGGTTGGTATTTGCAAAATATTTGGAGTAGGCAAAGTAGCGATTACATTTACTAAATAATGTATTGTTAAGTTGGAATTGTGCATTTCTCTGCATTTTAACTAATTCTGAACAAAAGCCCGGGGCGAGCTCTCGTGTAGGCACATGTCATGATCACATATCGACAGTGTTTGTGTAATTAGACTCACTGCCAGAAGGGAAAACGAAAGTTCAGCACTGCGGGTTTGATGCAATCCTGGTTACTGATAATTAAAACATACATTCTAGCTGTGTTTCATCTCTTCAAATATGTGTCCATAAAAATCAAATAGCACCATAAATGTCACCTGTAATTTCCTTTCTTTGTTAGCAGTTCTTTGAACTGGCCAAGTGTGACGACCCTCCCTTTGACAGACGTCCTGTACGGTATTAGCTCCTCACAGAAGTAATACGCCACAGTTATGTTTTCACATGGCTGCTTTTTAGTAGCTTTATGTCTGCAAATGCAAGAGAGAGGAAATGAATTAGAAAATGTAAAACATTCCCTTTATTAACATTTCCATATAGAGTAGAGTTTGCTAAAGCTAAGGGGAATGACAATTACAAACATGCTTATATTCATAAGTAACTGTATCACTGTGGAAACAATGAAAAGAATGTCAACTTTTTAAGGTATTTACAAGAAAATAAATCAAGATGGAAAAATTAAATAACTGAGCCAAATACATGAAATGAATGGGATCAGCTGAAGGCTAAGGTCATTTCATATTTTGCATCTTAAAGGTTGAACTTTTTAATCAATATGTGCAATTACAGGGAGTGCGTGAAAAGAGACAGGGATGTGGAGGATGTGTTTCTTAACAGCTTAGACATTTCTGAGTTTTTGATTAGAACAGACCAGTGAATAAAAAGCAGCATCTTTCAATAATCAGTTCTGAAGGAAACAACACTGAGGCTTATTTAAGGATAGCTTATATAGGTAGAAAACAAAATAAATAGTAAACAAGGAAAATGCACTGTTTAAACAAGACATCAACAAGTACACAAATGAACTGAAGTGGAGCTAGAAAACAAACAAAAACAAACAAACAAATCATTACTAGACCAGTGTTTCCCATGCGTTCCTTTATTTGTGGCGGCCCGCCACAATATCAACGCTGACCGCCACAGACTGATTGTCGATTATTTTTTTTACTAGGCCAATTTAAATCATATTTGATTGCAGAGCACTGAATGCACGGCACAGTCCCAAAACTTCAGCGAACAAACCCATAAATATCTGCAGGGCTGATTAACACAGAGGTAAACAGGAAAATATTTAATGTTTAGATATTTTGGGTTAATTTTATTTATAACTATTATTAAGATGTTTGAAAATGGGCATTCTCAAGATGGGTAATTATCAGTCAGCTAGCCAGCAGTTTAAGTAAATGGGTGTACTCTACCAGTCATGACTTCCTCTGAGTGGGAGAGGCCCTGAAATGATGATCTTACCAGCAGCCTCTGGGTGTGCCATGATATACAATGACATAATGTTATCCTTAGTGATCTCAAATGTTTTTAGCCTAACATCTTTTGTACCAACTTGAAGAACCACATAACTGCATCTGTTTTTGTGACTGGCAAGTAACTGAATTTACAGTGATAACAGGCTAGTCTGACAGTGATCAAGTTACTACAAGTTTCGGATACAAATGTATTTCTCTCAATTGTATCCAGCAGTAAGACCAACAATTAAAAGACTAATGCAACTCAAAACACCACAGTGTTCTTTTAAAACAAACACCCTTCATTTTTCCAAATGCCAATCTCCAAGCTATCTTTCAGACATTTACAAGTGTGGACATTTGAGGTACTGAAAGCGTCAGTCAGTCATGATCCAGGCACACACCAAGTCCTGAAACCAAGTCCTCACGGGTCTGACCAGTGGCTTCACCCACTGGCTGTGCCCCATAATCTGCCTTTCATCTGCCTCTTACACAGTTAACCCCATTCCCCTCCATTAAGTACCCATCTGATAGAAGGCAGTCAAACATCAAACAGAAACATGTTTCTGACTGAACATCAAAAAGCTGACCCTCTCCTCAATTCTAGTGCTTCTGCACGAACACAGAAAACATACAGGTCTACTTCCTTTGTGATCCTCTTTCGGGTCTTCGAGGGAAATAACCAGCAAGGATTCTGATGTTTTCTATCATTAAAGTGTGATCTTAGTGGTTTATGACAGCGTGGAGAAATAATACCATTTATACCCTGAACACTGAAAATAGTCTCACTGGCTGCCAGCTGTCCTTTAAAATCAAAAATCGCCCTGGTCAACAGTTTAACCACTGTTCTAAACAAAAATGTTAATTACTTTGAACTTACAATACTTGTCACAAAACTTTCCTTTAATCATTGGCCATAATATAGGTGTGATTATGCACCCAAAGTGACCCAATCTAGAAAATCATGGGCTTGGTGGGTAAAATGCTACCCGCTTGACATCATGTCATTCTTTGCCTCCTTTGTCAATTATTTTCTTTTTTCTGGACACCTTGTTATACATTATTTCTCACTCAATACCCTGCACTAGCTCTCGTCTTAAGCTGATAAGGAGTATATTATGGATGCTACTATATTATGGAGTCTTATGCCCACATTAAGGAATACCGGAAGAACTAGACAACATACCTCATTCAAACAAACTCAAGGATAGAGTGTGGGACACTACATAATGGCACTGCAAATACAGCACACTGAGAAGAAGAAATTGCTCATTACTGACTTAAATGTCTCTTAGTAGCTCAACAAAAAAAACACAGTCCTGGGTAACTAAACTAACAGTAATGGGAATGGAAAATGAAGTGGGTTGCCATGACCTATGGGAAATTTGGAGACAGTAGGAAAAGGTAATGGTAGTACACAATAGACATACTCAGACTTGGAGAGCTCACTGTCAGAAACGGCAGGTACCACGCTGAGCGGAGGGATCAGTGCAGGCCTGACTGCAGTGCGACCCCTCTGGATAACCTCCATCACATACCTGAGGGACCGAACAACCCCAGTAGTTAGACATAAACTAGCCCTAAGGAGCACACAGGCTAGAGAACAAAAGAGTAACTGTTCATTTTGACTACAGCAAAGATTTAATCTGGCTTCTTCCCCTTTTGGATCAAGTTAAATAGATTCTGTTGAAAAACTGCACTTATTATCTGGACAGATAACCATGTCCATCCACTTACCTCTGCTTGGGTTGTAAAGTTCCAGACTTGATCTTCTCCTCCTCAAGCCGCCGGCACACCTCCTCCAGCTGGATAAGGGGGCTGGGAGCTGGGTTGGGGGGCATAGTGGGATCCTGGATGAACGGGTGAGATGGCTGCACGTTATTCCGCAGTTGGGTGCTAAGGCAAGGGTGCACCGACCCTGATCGCTCCGCCGAGCTGAGACGGGATCCTTCATGGCCTGTGGTCCTCTTCGACCCAGCTGTACTCCTACAACATAAATTCATGAATTAATATCAACAACTTAACCCAGGCAAGATCATTTAAAAAAGTGGATTTTCCCCGCTTCTACCATGGTTAAATCAGTGCTTACTCTAACAGTACAAGATTAGTCTCTCATGCAGGTGTTGGTGGCACTGTTATTTTTGCTTTTAAAAATGCTTGCACTTGTATAACGTTAACTGTCATCACTGACCCGTATGGGCTCCTCTTCTGTTGAACCATTTCTTTCTGTCCTTCCATAAGCCACAAAAGGATCTTCTGGTTTTTCTCCATCTCCTCTGCAGGCCCTGGCATGTCATAAGGCCGCAATTCCTCACCTTTCTTGATCGCCTTTTTACACTGCGTGCCACCCTTGCTGATGTGTAATGGAAGAAAACAACTTGTAAGTAGAAACGCAAAAGGCATTTTGGATGCATTAATGACAAAAAGGTTAAATGTGGTGCGTACCTATATGTATGCTCCATAGGGTTGGATCCCATGCCTTCTGCATAGCTGCGAGACTTTGATCCATAATGACTCGTCTCCATGCCCCAGGGAAAGCTGCCATGTACACGCATAGCTGCCTCAGCCTCCACCTGCTCTTTGGGCTTTCCAATATTTGTGTGATGGACGTGGTGCAGGTGTTTGTGGTGGTACAAGTGGCTGGTGTCTCCCTTGAGGCCGTGTCTGGAAGGATGTTTACCCTGGCCTGAGGACGGAGCCATTCCAAGTCCCATCCCTTTGCCCCCTGGGAAACCCTCTGGGGAGCGTGACTTGGGAGAGTGACGGCCTGTACCTGGAGACTGGCAGCCGGGAGTCTTCATAACCCGCCGGACGTGGTCGTCCAGGATGCTTTCAGGGTTCTCCTCATGAGCATCTCTAATTAAAGGACCACTGTAGGTGGTATCAGCATAGCGAGAGTTGTAATTCTGCGTATAAGCACCAGGGGGGAACCTGTGACATGATAATGCTGTGGCTGTGAGCAGGACTTCATCACCTTCCTCTTCCTTTAGAACAAAAATACACAGACAAAACAAAAGATCATTGGGTGGAAAAACTAGAATAAAAAATATGAAAAAAAAATAATGCATGTTAAAAGGATAAAACTAGTTTGACAAAAGCCACACACACACACACACATATATATATATATATATATATATATATATATATATATATATATATATATATATATATATATATATATATATATATATATATATATATATATATATGTAGACACTTTTTATGAAGGTTTTGTTAAATGTGTTAGGAAACAAATTGATAAAAGAATAAAATGTGTGTGTGTGTGTGTGTGTGTGTACACACACACACACACACACACGTGATGGACTTAATTCAACCTGCAGATGGCAGAGTTTCACCATATGCTAATATTCTTCTCAGTTCTACTGCAGAGGTTTGGAGACAAACCAAGAATACAACAGTATCCGTCAGATTTGGGGGTACTATGCATGCACACGGCACATTTGTGTTGTTTCATGTAATGAAACTCTGAGTAACTGGGACAGAATCCCACTGACAGAATCTGCTCCAGCGGGAATCATGGGGTGGGGTGCTGCAGCCATTCATAATAGCTTTTGATAAGCCAGCACTTTAGGGAGTGGAGGATGTGCAGTAATGAAATAAAACACAGCAGTGGGTGGAAAAATTCAGTCATGTAAAACTGCTTATGGTCAAGTTGTAATCCTTATGGCACAAGGACCTCATACCAACGTTACTACAAAATGAAATTCTGAACCCAATATTTTCTTACTGGAGATGCACATTTGACACATAGTTTTTTGTATGATTAAATATTTAGTTATGAATTTAAAAGAAAGTGTCATATAACACCATCAGAAAATGTTTTTAATGCAGCTGGAGCAGTGAGCACCATCTGGCTTGGCTTTAATCTTCCTCTATGAAGTTAGAAACACTTTGGCAGAGAGAGATGGTAAGGGGTGACTGAAAAGAGATACAGTGGAAAGAAAACAGTGGGTGGGGGTTTCACTTTTATCTTTTAGCCAGCCCATGCCCCAACTTTTTAGTTATGTCAGTTATGTTAATAATTTAAAAAATCTTTACTTGCGAACATGCCAAACCAACTGAGTTAGGTATTGCAATGTGCTCACCACCCATTTGCTATAACTGTATCAAAGAAAACATCAAAGAGTTTCTCATCCTGCTCCTACATGAATGTAACTTTCTTGTGCCCACTGCTTTCCTCAATTCAGCAATATTGTAAAAGATGCCGAATGCAGGCAAAATATGTTTTGTTTTTAATAATTGATGTGTCTTCGTATCTTTGCACCAGATACAGATATTTGTGTTAGCTGAGCCCAGTGGAAGTTAGTCATGGAATCATGACATCTTCATCTGAACACCTTATCCAGCACCTTCCATGAAACTGAAAATCCTTGGCAGACAACAGTTTTTTGACATTCTACAGGATAGCTTAGGTGGTGGATGGGGATTTACCGATAACAGTCTCCAGTAGCTCATTTATACAACGTTGTGTCTCTCCTGGCAAGGAGTAGCATACGTACATGGTTGCATGTTCTGTTTTCTTGTTCACACGAAATACAAATCCAATTCAGGCCAGCAATGGCCATCCTGCTCACATGAGTCATTCATTTACTTTTGTGAACAGCATGCTGCTGCTGCTCTTGTTTACGTACATTTCCCAGTGAATAGCTGGGCCACAAGGTCCATTGTTCCAAAAAATTACATTAAGTAATTCTTAGCAGACTGTGTGATAGAGCTGTGGCAATAATTTACTCACATAAGTTACTCACATCCCCGTGAAATCATGTGGACCTTTTCCTCTCAGCAATAAAATGATAATATAAATTTTTAACCAGATGGTGGAGTTTGGAATATGATTTTATGCTACAGAAATTCTTCATGAAATAAAACCATATAATTTTTAATGCTTATATTATGGTTAAAAAGATAAAACCTTTTCTAGATGCACAGAGAATCACTCGATGAAGGCAGTCATTTCATTGCCTCCAGGTTTAATAAAGCAAACCTTCAGCTGTGTGATGGCAGCTTCTCTCCTTTCAGGGCCAAACCACATAAATTGTCTGCCTTGAGACTTAATACTTGGCTCTGTGTACTGAGAGAGCAACTATTTTATCACCGTTCAAGTGACATCAAACAGGCGGCACACTGTTCCAGGCTTACAAGTGGCCGAGCGTGCAGGTGCTCCATCTGATTCATCAGCAAGGCCAGATTACTGACAGGCCAAGGCTGGTTTCCCCCAAATGATTCATAATGTTTTTTTATTCTCCATTCAAATGGCTAGCCTCATTAATTTCATTAAGGCTGGGCGGGTTTAAATCTCCTTTATTACTGAAAACTTTAAGCCCGACGGCCAGACACACATCTTACTTTCTGGCTCAGAAAAGGTTGTATTACTGATACCGCTCGATATACAGCCGGCTTTTGAATACACTATCTATGATCATCATTTACTGAATCATTCTTTTATTAAACTGAATGAAAATTATTCAGGTGAGAAAAGAGTCATTTGAAGAAAAGAGCATTTAAAATGAGATCCTCATAACCAGAACATCAGCTTTTCTCATATTGTGCCTTTTAAAAGTCTAACAATGCAAAAGATCCGGTTTAAATATAAATGTTTCCAATATAATACAAACTGCTCTAGAGCTAAGTTTATTATTAAAGTTAGTGATTAGTTGTTTGACAGAAACTTAATTCTGCAACTAGTTATATAATTCCTTCATCGTTTCAGTCATTTCTTCCACAATCTTTCTCTCATTCCAGTTTGTTAAATTATTTGTCTGTATATCTGTAGGTTTTTTTTTACTGTCACTTAAAATAAGGAAACTGAAAATGTTACCATGAGCTATGGGAAATTAAAATGACTGATAATCTTTAAATTGAGAAAATAATTTGCAGATTAAACGGACAATGAAGATAATTGCCCTAAACTGCCTCTACTTTTCTTTTCCCTCTGGCCACTAATATTACACAGTTGGTGTCACCAGAAAGCTGACATGGTGGTAGTAACAATCTGATTCTTACAGTGCCTTTAGTAACTTGAGTAAAAGCAGCTCAGAATCACTGAGAAACGCTGAGTCAAAGCATGCATGTTGCTTTTCCTTCCCTGCACTGCCTCCATTGTATTATGTTAGAGGTCAATTTAGTCTATGGACAGTGCTCTCCTGTGTGAAAGATGCAACTTATTCTTCACGTGTTAAACCACATTAACAAAACAGTGGATCTGCTTGTGCTTTGAACAGTAGCCAGTCATTCAGAAAATAAAGTGAACATACCAGTCGTACTCTCTTCAGTCGCTCCTCTAGTTTCTCTTGAGCCTGTCTCTCCCTTAGTACGCCCTCCAGTCTGCTGATAAGCTCTGCAGCAAACCTTTCCGGCTCCACATGTATATCCTTTGGAATCCGGTTGGTGCGCTGGGGGGTGAAATGTCAAACTGTAAGCACACTCTGCAAATTGTTGTCACTGCTGCATTACTGTCAACACCGAATGGGCAGTTTTACCACCCAGACTTCTGACATCCTGTCAGTGACCATAGGAAGGGACAAAAACATAAGCAGGAAATATTAAAGTAGACAGTGTCAAGTGTTCAACAACCAAAGGGATAATAAATCTAGATTTTACCACTGAATAGAACTGAAACTGACATAGTGAGGTTCTTTTAATTTTCCCACGCAATGGAGAATGTATGCTTAACATTTGTTAAAAATTTGATGATACTAACCTCAACTAGCAGGATCATAAAATGTACTGTAACTTTAAATGACAACAATTACCAATCTCTTTTCTTAATGTTTTAATGCATAAAAAAAAGAGTAAAGCATTTTGAATTGCCTTTGTGTATGAAATGTGCTATACAAATAAACTTGCATAATAAGGATTTGAGTGACATTTATATCCTCTCCTGCCAGCAGAAGTTACTGCACTGCACTTGAAACAATTCAAAGCTGTTAACTCCTGCTTTGGAACCAGTTAATAGAAGAAAAGGTTGGAAAACAAAGTGACATTTAAAACAAAATGACCTACAATGCCTGTCAATCTTTTTATTGCCCATGAAGTGAAGTCATGATTCATTTGTTGGGGCATGGAAACGTAAGAGTTAGGTTTTGGGGATTTGTGTGGTGTTTTAATTTGACTCTTTACTCTGAGGCCTAATTAGGGCCGGGGTTTTCCTACCAAGAGACAGTGTAAGCTGCAGAGGGAGGCATCCGGCTGTCACAGGGGAGGATTCATGTCTGCTAGGCTTCAGCGCGCACAGCTTAGGAAAGCACCAAGCTGCATTTAGACAGCCTTCTCTTTCACTATCAGCTATTCTTATACTCCATCACAGGCCCTGCGACACAGCAGAGCTTAAATATGCACGTCTCCAATGGTGGAGCAGAGAAAATAAGGCAGAGACAGACAGTTAAAGAGAGGTGTAGAGGCAGAATGTGAGAGGAAAAGAAGCCATGAATAACTCACTGGAATATGAGGTAGTGGCACTAGCCCATTTGCTTTGGCACTTTCGTGCATCTCCCGGCGATGCTGTTTGCGGTATCTGTAGGGTGGAATCCCATCTCTGGAATTAACAACAAAGACATTTTCATATAACATCCTCATGAATAAACAACACAGGCAGCTTTGAAGTTGAAAGCTTTCTGCTGCATTTTTGCCTAAAACGGACACCTTGTAAGTCTCGATTAATCAGTACGGCAGGACAGGCATTCTCACAGGCTTATTGTGTCTCTCCTGCACCACAAGTGGTCTGGCAGATTACAGATACATGTTAACACATCCACAAGTCTGTAATTCCATGTGGTACTGGTCATGCAGCGTTTCAAACTCTCCTGCGCTGGAAGCTCTGGACCAATTAGCTGATAACAGCCTCTAATCCATTCAGATTCAAAACACATTTTTGTCCAGTTGTGCAAGCTTTGAAGTTTCTTTGGCATATTTCCCCAGTGCCATCTCTGCACCTAGGAAACATTACTTTTCAATTTTTCTTTTCACCAGCACATGCCTGCACACACAATTGAAGTAAAATTCCTGCGTGCAAGTGATCTCAGATGATAAAGGACATTGCCTTTGGCCTCATGCATGTACCCAAACAAAGTTACCTGTGAAAGAAGACGCGTTCTGCTTTGTTCACCCTAAATTGTGTCACTATAAAGAAACACTTTGGAAAACATTTGAAGCCGGTTCTCACATTTGTCAAAGAGGTCTGTAGGTTAGTATTTTCATTTCTGTACACTCAGACCTAGTTTTATCTCTAAGAGTGAGTTTCTAGGATTCCTAATTAGCATTTGAGATTGATTCTAACAGCATGTATTGGTTTGGCTAATGAGCAGATGGGACTTTAGTTGCTGCTCCTGTTAAGTTTGAGCATGTGTAAAAATGGGCAAGAAATGTAAGTTTGAAGCCAATTAAACTCTTAGTGCTGTCTTTGAGCAATGCTAACTTTTATATAAGATTTTATATATATATATATATATAGACATAAAAATAAATAATGGGTTCTGTCTTTCATTTTGATGATAAAACTCATGTTCCAGCCAAAAATGCAGCCGGGCATTGCCTTTATGACCTGGTAGAATGGCCTTTATGTATGAAATGTGCGTGTTTATGTATGTGTGTGTGATGAGACAATACATACACACTGCTGTCGGTAAGGGAAACTGTGTCTGCATCACTGGACATACTCTGCTGCTCACTATCGTTGGCACTGGTGGCAGGAGCCATAGCATAACCACTGTTGACATAGTATGGGTTGATGGGCTCCCGACTTGGTGCATGTCTGGAAAAATTAAGAAATACAGGAAATGCTGAGAACAAGTTGTTCATAAATAGACATAAGAGACAAAGACGTACACAGCTCTGTAGTATAATTCTTAAATAAGAACATACAGTGTTGTTTGATCGCGAATGGTTAGAAACTGTAATAAGAAATGCATCCAGAAGCCAATGGTTTATCTGTTCACAGTTAACATTCTCTAAAGACCACAAAGACCACAACACTTTGGCACTACACTATATTTTATTTGTTTGTAATTTACTTCTCCTATTTTGGTTTTGTTACACAGTTTAAAACCATGAACACTACATTAATATGTATGATTCTTGCAAACCACTAATATTCTTGGGTAACGCTAAGAATTAGGCTGCAAAACAACAAACTAATTTAAATGTGGAAAACAGGCATTCTGACGGACACGTAATGAAAATGAAATACGCCATTTAGCTTCTGGTCACCGTAGTGTGTGTAGGCAGTAGATATAGACTGGTTAATCTCTCAATATCAGCATATTGCAGATTTATCATATCAGTGTATGTATTGGTTGATAAATAGCCTAACAACAAATGTTAGTATAGAAATGCCAAACTAGCTTTTTATATCATTTTAAAACAAATGAATAATGTCCCAGTATGTATCTTGGTTACATTTTAAAAAGTAAAGGAATCCATAAACATTTTGTGTGATGCATGTTGGCAAATATACCATTATCGGATGTTTTTAAACTCCCAAATATCAATATCGGACTCAAAAACACAGTTTTGGTCAGGCTATAGTTGCCAGGTCAGCTGACTATTTCAAATGTGCACACAACCTCATTCCCCAACCCAATACTCCATAGCCTGCAATTTGTCAAGCTGTCTGATTCTGCCACTTCCAGAAACTCCTCCTCCTTCTGTTTGGCATAATCCAAACAAACTTACAGCCAGAGTTAGTATACAGGCATTTGCTATCAACATTGTTTTTTTAGAGTTTTTCAACAACCTCTGTAAACACACAAAATTCGATACCAAATATTCAACAGTGGAGTATAACTGCAGGTCTTATTATTATCTTTTTCTTCAAGAGTGTCTACAGATATATGGGGAAGCTTCATTTGACACCTATTATTTATTCTCAGCCACTGACTTTGCTGAACACATTTCTTAGAGGGCTTTGTACACATGAATTAAAGATGTTAGGCATCATCTCCTTTTATTCAAATTCGGATTCCCTGAAGCATTTATCCTGAGCTTCCTCCCTGTTTGGAATGCAGAAGCATCCAGAGTTCAGAATGAAACCTTTGTGACCAACTGGTAGCGTCCACATTCAATAGTGAACAATTTTAGCACCAGGTTGGTGAAGCGTTGGGACAAATACAAAGTGCAGACACGAGAAAGAAGCAAACATTAATTTAATTCAACCTGGCATTTGAAAGACAGATGAGATGATTCCTTGAGCAAATTTTGCATAATATCACGATTGGAAACATATAGCCTAGTGCTTGCATTTTTTAATTCCAACTTTTAAAAAAAAATAACACAGCAATAAAAGACACAATAAAACACCAGGTTTCCCATCATCACCTGAGCCTGAACACATTTTCTCTCCGTTGATTTCACTTAACTTACTTATAATAAAAAGTAGGGCTGACCCTGCATAGTCGAACATTCGATGCTTCGATGGGCAGAGCCTGATTTGACTGTCAATCTTACAGTCGAAGCTTCACAGCAAAGTGAGGATCATGCCATTTTGGCGATATGCGGGTGCTCAACGCCTCATTTTAAATAGGACTACCAGTTTTCTCCCAATAAATTAATATACAGTCTATAACAATATAAATTTCCACATATGATGCTGTAAATAAACATGTATCCTAAAATAATGTTTTTTTAAGTGCGTGAATAAATCCAAAATGACCTTTAAAAAAGGGGGGTCAGTGCCCATGTGTAGGCGTTGCATTTATGTGTGTGTGTGTAGCCTTACAGTCTATGGCGTAGCCTAGTGGCAGAGAGACGGGGCCCCCCCTCACAGGTGTTGTGCCGAGTTGTCTGCACCTCGCGGGACATTCGGATCATTTATCACCATTGATGAACCACACAAACACACACTGATTCAACTGTCAGTTGACTACAGCAAAGACTTGACAATTCTGATTCAACTATGTAAATTCTTAGTCAGGGAAAGCCCTAATAAAAAGACTATCAAGTGTTTAAGATAGGGCTGTTTTTTGTTTTATACATAGATTGTTTTAGATACTGGCTGTGGTTTTCTTAGTTGCGCTCCATGTGTAAGCAAAACTTCCACATGCCATTCACTTGTCTTTGCCTTCTATCCTTCCCGTTTCCCTCTCATGTCAACTGTAAATAGGGCTGGGCAATAAAAAAATAATGATAATTATCACAATATAATTGTCATCAATATAATAAATGTTCCATATATCGTCAGTAAATATTTGGTTTAATTAATTTGAATCACAAATTAGCACTTTTCTATTCAAATATTTATTTTGTTGAGGAAAAGGGACTGAGAAAAGATTTACTAATCATATTTTTATTCATATGAAAAAGATTTTATCACAGTAGTTTTGAATGTTCTACCTCAGATTTGTTAAGTGATCCACTGTTTGGCATCAAGTGTCATATTCTGACCATAAATAAAATTTTAACCACATAATTTTTTCAATTTTCACTCAGGAGGGAAAAATCAGCCTTTAAAGAAATAATCATTTTACATATATCGTGATAATTATCGATATCGAATGATATGAAATGTTTTTATCGTGTATTTATATGTATTATATGTGTATTTTTGGCCATATTGCCGAGCCCTAACTTTAAATACATACAAAAGGCAAAAACAATCTTTTTTAGAAAGTACTATTTCCCTTTCAAGCACTCCAAACTCAAACTCAAAATATTTTTACTTATTCAACTCCAAAAACTGAATATAGAACCTTTATTTCAGACATGACATATAATAATGTTGATTTGAAAGAGAAACACTGAGCAATAATGCATCCATATTGTTATTCCATGTTTGTCTCAACTTTATTCCAGAATGCAGACCCTCAAAAGATCGCTCAGAGGGAACAACAACTTTCATTAAAATTACAAAGGAGATGAAGTCTTGCCTTTGAAGTACACAACTTACTTGAAGAAGAACTAAACTGCTCACATTTCAAAAATCTCACCAAACATTAATGAATGTATAGGTCATTCTCTTTCAAGTCATTTGCTTTCTTAAAGCGGATCTGAAAGATTATTTAATGTCTTTTGTTGCCTGTCTCTGAAGAGATCAGACACAACTGATGTAAAATTTAGTTTCATAAAAACCCAACGGGTAATGCTAAAAGGCTATTTAAAAATGAAGCGTGTCTTTCTGTAATTCCAGCCAAATGCTTGATTGCTGAAATAATGATGTGAAAATAAACCCTAAACTGTGTTTCACTCACTAATTAAAACTGAAGCAAGAAGAGAATTCAACATTGATCTTCAAGGAAAATTGCCTTTTGTTGTGTTTTCAAAAAAAAAAAAAAATTAATAAAAAAACAAAAATCAAACACAAACAAGCATTTGGTTTATCTTGTGTCCTGCAGATATCAACCAGAAAAGCTGCATGCCAAGTGCCAACAGCGGAAAATGTAATGAGACATGAGACTAGACCATAGAAAGTACAAGGTAGCAAAAGTCTGTAGCTGCCCAGTCTATGGTACGTCTGATTTTAACTGGTCAGGATTTGTTCTGTCTCCTCTGATGGTACTACACAGTGTCCAGTGTTTAGTCACATAGATGGTCTTATCTGGAAGGTATTGGCCATCTGTCAGCTGACATGTCTTCCTATTCCTCCTCATAACACTGGTGCTACAGCCTCAAAGATCAAATCATCGCATCACACACACATCAAGTCTTTATATTTATCATATTATTATGATTATTATTAAAGCACATTTATTTTTATCTGTTTTGAAGTTGAATTATATTTAAAGTTCAAAGAAAACTACTGTTAAAGACATGCACAATTTTCCCAAAGTTAATGAATAATCATGTTAAATAATCATAATCTCAATATTGACCAAAATAATCGTGATTATGATTTTTGCCATAATCGAGCAGCCTTAGTACGACAGTGACTTAAATTTAAGTCAATGTGATGTAAAATTATTCTTTTGAGGACCAACAGCAATGCAAACTAAACAACAGCTGCAATCACATTAGGACCATAAATCCTGGTTGGAATTTAATTTGCAATGATGGTACATTTTGTTACTTGCGACGTTTTAATGATGACACCTAACATGTCTTAAAGGGTAATTTCGGTATTTTCATTTATTTCAGGGTCAAAATTAATAGTATATACAAAATGTTTAGGAATCCATGCAATAGATGGCTTCAGCCGGCAACCGCAAACTGGCTGCAACATATTCCTTTTGCCACCAATAAGCTCAGACTGCTCAGACCAACTGTCTGACAACATCATGGAAAGGATCCCTAAGAGCAATACCCGTTAAAACCATTTGCTTTTTACCACACACAAAAGTCTCGCTCAAGGACAACTGACCCTTTGCTTACTGTTAAACTGCTAAATCCGACAAACAGTCAGACCTGTCGGACTTTTATCACACCACTTTCTATTACTGCACTCCCCAGAGAAAATTATCAAATTTTTTTGGAAAAAGCGATCTCAGAAAGAAGCAGACATTTTAGCGGTTGCATTATACATTTGAAGGCTGTCAAAGTGACTCGAACTGACGTGAAAAAAATTAAAGAAGCTAAAGCCTACAGATATAGAGTAAAAGTGAACCACCGCATCACCTGACCATTGAGACAAAAGACAACGATATCAAGGACAACACTGTGTACTGTAAAGCTGGGTAGGTCTCTATTCAAAATTACAGTCATTAAAAACCAAAAGCAGTAGCTTTATATAAAGTTACATATAGTAGTAAGCTAGCATTAGCTAACTAACATTACATTAGGAACAATCCACAGCTGAAATTTTTCTGCATTTATTTTAGGTTCTGGAAAGAGAATAAATCGTACTTCTCCTTTGAACCACTCTGGGTGGCAACTGTAACTATTACAAGTGCCTCAGAAGTGTTTCATCATATCTTGGAAAAATAAAGCAAAAAAAAAAAAGAAAATGCTAGAAAACCACGCCTCGGTCGGACCTCAGTTAGAGAGAGTCCTATACTGCGCTGTGATTGGCCAGCGGCAGTATAAATAGGCAGTTTTAAATATACCCAATTTACCCTTTAAATCTCTGTGGAAGATATAACCTAACCTTAACATAACACGTTTAAAAAGTTGAACTTCCCAATGACAGAAATTAAGTTGTGGTAATAATCCAGTACTTAGGTTTGCATATGATCTTTCGTTGTTTAAGTTATTTTGCTGGAGGATCACAAGTATGTAGAGTAAAAAAGTATCCACAGTCTGATTGCTCAGAGCCTCAGGGGTGCAGTCTGAGGGGGCCACAACAACAACAAATTTTTAGTTGATTGGGTAGATTTCTGCTGTGATTTCAGAAATGTTGGTCTGCTGATCCATTATAAAATGCAGTGAGCTTGTTTTAATATAATATATATCGTCTAATATGGGTGGGAGGAAAAAATCAATTCTTAGATGCATTGTGATGCGGAAGTGGAAGATTCTGACTCGATTAACAAATGTTGAAACATCGAGTATTTAAATGTTTTTGTGTCAGTTCTTGGGCTCATTGCAGTTACTATCTTCTAAAGACTTATTTGTTTTCATGTAATTGTCCACGGGGTCATTGTCTTACCTATATTAGGGGTGCAACAACTAATCGTAGTTTACAAAAATCGTGTAAAACGTAGTTTACAAAAATCTATTATTAAATTTCTTGCCAACAAATTTAATTATCGTTTCGTTCATGACGTCATTGGACCGTAGCGACGTGATGTGAACAGTAACGTTAAAGTTCCTAAAACAACATCATAGCTGCAGTAACACCTTCACTCAGCCAGAAAGGTTGTGAACTGCAGCAAAGCTGAGCTCTCCTGGAAACACCGGAGCATTTATAAAATATAAAATCTTGATAATGCACACTTTGATTTTCATGTTTACAAAAGGTATTTGCTGTTATTTATTTATTTTTTCCTTGGTTTAGTCATGGACTCAGCATACTATCACCTGAAGAATATATCACGGATTAAAGGACTTATGTCTCAGCAAGACCTGGAAAAACTTATCCATGCATTTATCTTCAGTCGACTCCACTACTGCAACACTGTAACTCCCTAAGAAATCCATCAGACAGCTGCAGCTGATTCAGAACATTGCTGCTCGAGTCCTCACTAAGACCAAAAAGGTAGATCATATCACTCCAATTCTGAGGTCTTTACATTGGCTTCCTGTATGTCAAAGTATTGGATTTCAAAATCCTGCTGTTAGTTTATAAAGCACTAAATGGTTTAGGGCCAAAATACATTTCTGATCTTCTGCTTCGTTATGAACCATCCAGACCTCTCAGGTCGTCTGGGGCAGGTTTGCTTTCTGTCCCCAGAGTCAAATCTAAACAAGGAGAAGCAGCGTTCAGTTATTATGCTCCGTATACCTGGAACAAACTCCCAGATAACTGCAGGTCTGCTGAAAATGTCTTTAAAACTTTCAAATCAGACTGAAGATTTTTCTTTTTACCACTGCCTTAAACTAGTAGATTGATAACTTGCACTGCACTGTAACTTTTACTGTCCTGTTTTCTTTGTTTTTAGCTTTTTACCATTGCTTTTAATTAAATATCTACACGGTGAGACATGAGTAGGTAATTGAGTGGAAAGATAATGAGAGTGAGACTGAACAGAGTGAAGGAAGTCTTAAATCTCGCGGCTGAGTGATTTGCAGGAACCGCTGTCTACCTGTAAACGCGCAGGTGGGTCCAGAGTATAACTGGATCAAAGTGGCCTGCGGGCAGCCATCTCCTGGTTTCTCTGTAGTGTCCGAGGGTTTTTGGAGTTTCAGTGGACCCAAAGATTGCTATGGACCCGAGTGCAGACTAGCTAGAGAGAGTAGATTAAGTGTACTTCTGTTTATTCTCTTTTCAAAATAATTGTAACTCAGTTATTTGCTCAACCCCTCAGCCTGTTTTTATTTTCCATTTAACTCTTTTAACCCTGATTGTACACTGCAGTGTAACTTTTATTATTTTGTTAATGTGTATTTTTTCAATTTCCCTATGTTGTTTTTAAACTTTTTTATATTTCCCTGTTGCTTTTATGTTTTATGTAAAGCACTTTGAATTACCTTGTCGTTGAAATGTGCTATACAAATAAACTTGCCTTGCCTTTTTTAAGCAAACAAAATGGCAACTGTATTTGTAGTTTTCAATATAAAACTTGCTGAAATGGTTTCAGTGTGTATATCAGTACATTTTAATATTTTTTGGCACATTTTTACAATACCACTGATAAACGTGATAATTTGGTCACTATAATCGTGATATGAAATCTTCATACCGTTTCATCCCTAGTACCTACTTGTCAAGGGTTGAGAACATCAGGTACAAGCTTAGACTAAACTGGTGTACAGCTCTGTCCTGTACACATACTGTACATTCTGATAATTACATTTCAGTTTTCAGAGCAGTCTGGTTGTTGAAGAAACGAGGGACCATGGAGCTGAGGTTAATGAAGTAAATTAGGGATGCAAACTAGTCATTTTAAGATAATAAGGAGATGTTTCTTTTGGATTTTAATGCACAAATTAATTGTTTAGTAATTATCCAGAGATCCTGTATAGAAAAAAAATTATGCATTAGGATGCATCGATAATTGTTTTTAGAAATCGCATCACAACCCTCTGAATTATAATCGAATCGAAAGGTGTCCAGAGATTCCCACCCCTATCGTATAAGCATTTTACACGGTGTAATCTTGTAGTCTTGAGACTGCTGTAATATTCACAGCAGAGCAGACCATAGCCTGCATCTCCCAAACATCTCCATATTTTATTTCTTACTTTCTGCTCATAGTAGAATTGCACAATGTAATTTATCTCATCTCCCGTGTGTGTTGAGGACACATCCATCTTGTTTGACTATATTTTATTGAAATTGCCACTGAACAAATCAACCGGAGTTGTGTGTTTACGTTCATTGTGAGCTGACACATTCGGGCCGGTCAATTGATCTGTACAGTGTGAGCATATAAGTACACTAAAATGTGTAGATTGAGTTAACAAAATATAAAAGATCAATAAAAACACAGAGTGTAGACAGATTCAAAGCATAAAATACAACTCAAATACCCAGAAGAGTCCAAACAGCTATCCAGTACAGTATCAGCAATACATAAAAGGTACAGGTACTGCTTTCCCTCATACAATCTTAGTCTTATTGTGGATCTTATTTACAAGACCCAGGCTATAGATACTGTACACAATAATATAGCTGGAGCTGACATAACATCAAGGCAAACTTTACAGCAATCTAAGGTCAGCTCAAACTTAGCAACAACCTGCCTCACTCATACAGTTGTTAACAAGGTTCCGTGTCATGAAGGTGTGACAGTGAACCTCCATGCATCTTATCAGGACTTGAACCTGGCAGAGCTACCGGTAATTCAACCATCATTCATTTTATTATTTACACATGTGCTTTTCCTACTGTGACATGTTAAAGAGGTCCTCCTTTCCACTTTCACTTCTCAGTTTATTCCTATTGTCTGTCTAGATGTTTTTTGATTATTCAAATGCAGTCAGTATTATTCAATTACAGGATTATTATTTGTGTAAATACAAAACATGACATAAAATCATAACTGTGTTGCCCTACACCCTCTCCCTGATGAACAGAGATTGACTGATTAGTCAGTATCAAAGTGTTGTCGAACATCACTAATTCAATACAAAATTCATGACAGAAGATAACGAAAAGAAAGAATTCAAACTAGTGGTGATCTCAAAGATGACAAGATTGCTGAAAGGCAATCATATTAATGCTGCTGTTGCACACACATATAGCTGGCCAACACCCCCTGCACTGCAGCAAACTTTCTAGACTATCTTGTATTGATAGGTTGAGCTATTTGTTCGACTGAACCTAGGAATGCAGACTTAATATTAGGAGGAAGCGTAAGGCAAAGATTACAGTTTTCAGATTAGATATTCCAGAAGGCTCCTACTTAAACAAAATCACGTTGAACCCTTTCACTACAAAATGGGAAAACATGATTCCCACAGTACCTGCGCAAGAAAAACAAAGAACACTACGTCAGCCTGAGTTAACAAAAAGTTAAATTCTGCAGCCTCTGACATTAACAGACCCCCATAGGTGGAAATGCACGACCTTCCTCTCATCTCAGCTGTCTCTTGTGCTACACTGAGACTCTGTTTTCATTTCAAACTTCACACAGCGTTTCTAGTATTGTGGGTTTCTGGATTTATTTATAATTCAGCAGTTTGCAGAGAAAAGCTGTGTAGCTACAGCTGAAGTGAAGCTTTCTAGATTGCTGGGAGGATTTACCTGTACTCGTGACTGTCCTGGAATCTCACGCTGCTGGCAACACGCTGTGGGGCCGTCTCCATTAGCAGCTTCTGAGTAAGCCGTTTGCTCGGTGTGGGGTCACACTCAGGCTGCTCCTCTGGCTCGTGGTCACATCTCCATTCCTCATCTTCATTTAAAGTCGGTAAATAACCAGACAGCCCCTTTCCACTCCCAGAGACACAGCTCTGATTACTGTATAGCTTAGGGCTCTCTCCCCCTGTCCGTGTAAATTCCAAATATATGTCAGACTTAAGAAATAAAGGATAGGTGTTTTCCTCCATCATAGTCTGTATCTCAGTCTGAGCCTGGTCGAACATTGCGGGATCGATGTGAAGCTTCATGACACAGTCTTTGATGAAGGACTTGGTAGCTGGTTTGATCTGTCTGGAAACAATCCCATTGTTGTCCAAGATGTATTTTTTATAGATGGCTTTTGCCAGTTTTACCTTCTTCTCCTCGTTACCCTCGTTAGCTTCAAGTTTGCGGAACCCACTGCATGCAAACCAGAAGTCCAACATATCTGCACACTCCTCCTGCTTGAGGAACGTCCTAAACAGATGGATGCCATCTTGATCATCCAGGAGGGAGTGAAGAGATTCTGCCCACTTTACGTAGGGTGGTGTTGGGGAAGCACTTCCCTCCGGTTCATAACCCAGGTCCAAGTCAGGTCGCCTGGGTGTAGCCACAGACGCCTCACATTTGAGGCTCTCATTCTTTGAGAAACCGAGGTTGCTGTATTGGTGTCCATCACTGCACACCAGCTCGCCTTCTTCCCCTGGTACTGGAGGTCTGGGAGCATCCTCAGTGAAGCTGCCTCCCAGGTCTGCTAAGTAGGCCCTTTTGTCGCTTATGCTCATAGTCCCAGCATCCATACACAACGTCCCTGTAGAGCCCAAACTGCGCAACTATTAGATCCAGGCCTCTACTTATGCCGCTGCAAAAAAACTCCTGCAAGGAGGAAAATGTATAATGAGACGCAGCTTATCACATCACTGAAAGGTAGAGTAGTGCTAGCCTTGACAGGGCTCTACTAGGAGAAGATATTCTAATATTCATTCCCAGTTTATTTGCAAAAAAGGTCTATGCAGCAGTTTATATATACAAAGTAAAAGTGAATTGCCAACAGATGTAGTGCTGACAATAAAGATCGATCGATTATGTGCCATAATTGCCATATGCCCGTATAGAAGAGATCTAGTACCTCTTGGGGAAATTCTACAATTTTGCACAGTTTGCATTTTTATCAGATTTTCATGAAAAACTCATCATGTGGCCAGTTTCCAGCTGAACATTCAAATGAATGCAAATTCTGCAGAAATCCAGAGGATTTGAAAATGAAACAACCTCCTATAAATCTTTAAAACCAGAAAGTAGCTTCTGGTTTACCATTAAATCCAGCATGGTTTGTATGGTAGGCGGGTGACCTCAGCGGTTTACGCTCCAATATAAAAGAACTTATTATTACATTCTAAGTCAACTAAAGTACAGCGATTTACATTGGAATCGCTTCAATGGAATAACTGTGGAAATTGGTGATGAAATCAACTCAAAAAGCGATGATCCAAGAATATTTTGAATAATTTAATGCACTTGATCTGTGACTGCACATTCTGCATAACATCTGTAAACCTAAGCAGAAATTGAAAAGTGTTATTAGGCTTATAATATGGATTGATAGTCTATGATTGCGCCATACCGAGTAACCTTCAGAGTTATGTGGCAGTGTTGTGGTTATCCAGGCCAAGAGTTGTGGCTTTAGTGCTGTCTGGCCTTGGACGCAGCTTTCTGCTAGGCAGTAGTATGAATGTGGTGTGGTGTGTGGTTTGCAGTAATATTCACTGCTTTACATGCACAGGCATATCATTACTTTACACTGCTACTCCAGTTTCTTCCAAATTAGTATTAGTGTTATCATCACAATGATAAATTCACTTGAGGTTTACAGTACGGACTCAATTATGAAGCAGCAGTAGTCTCTCTACTATTAGCTAATATCAGCAGCTGCAGAATAGCATGCCTAATGATTATAGTGATTGAATGTGTTGTTCAAGGACACATCCTGGTCCTCGTGTATTGTCCCTGAGCTTTCTTGCTGAGCAAAGACACAGCAGAGCCTATATCGCCACCTCTATTGATGGTAGGTACAGCTTATGGTTAAGCTTCCCACATACAGTGCCAGTAAACCCTTTTAGTTCTGATTTCCTAATGTAAGGACAGCTTGGAAAAAAGCACAAATTTTCCATGCAGCAGCCAATATTTCTGCTGCAAGACAAACAACTCCAACATGGAGTAAATGGTTGATTAAATTTGTGTTAAAATCTTTTAAAGTACTTGGTAGCAAAAGGTTAAAATAAATCTTGGAAAAAAACATTTGCAATTTTCAAAAGGGCTGGGTTTACTTTGTGTGTGTGTGTGAGAGTGAGTGAGTGAGTGAGAGAGAGATTTCAAAAGAAATATCTTTTAATGATTGCCATCGCATTCCCTTTAGGGCACACCCACTCTCTTGTCTTGTCCAATGCAGCTCCAAATCATTTTCCTGATTCAACAAAGACAGTAGGCTAAAGACAAATTTGGCAACAGTGCCCTTTCTCTGCACAAAGTGTGAGCAGCACGTGCACCGTGCATAGGGGCAGGTGTGCTGGACTGACAATGATAACCAGAGAATGCGGGCAGTTCTAGTGCAAGCACATTTCATAGCTACTTTATCAGTGGTGAATCTCCTGTTCAAACTAGCACTCATCTCGCTAACTGTATGTATTGATGCATCGGCACGGGGGATGTTCGGGTTGGCGCGTTGATATTAAATTTAACGGTTCCGCGGTCACAGGTATGAAGCAGGAATATTAAGAAAGGTTTAGCCGTGATTTCAGCCAGTCTAAGCAGAGCTCGGGAAATGTCCTCTCTTCCTGAAACGGTTTGTTCCTCTGAAGTGAGCCTCCCATCACATTCATGTCTTGGCCTCTCCAGAATGAGCAGAACAGCAGCCCCGAATGGGGGAGGGGAGCTAGAAACAAACTCCGTATACACACACACACACGCACGCACACACACACACACACACACACACACACGGAGCCAGGCCTTTCAGCAGCCGAGCCGACCGACAAGTGCACAACTTTGTCAGACTATTCACCTATTAATATCTGCCCTGTCTCTGCTAACAGCTGCTAAACTAAACGAACAACATGACGACCGCAAACATTTCCCCTACCGTCAAAGGACACAGAGGGAATCCCACACCAATTCCCGAACAGATTTACAACCAGCAAAGCGATGGCACATATATCTCGCGACTACCGCAATCCCAATCCCTGATCTGGGAGAGAAAAAAAAGTGACATATACTTAGCCAGTGGAAATCTCCCTGCTGCTTTCGAGTGCATCGGGCATTTGGACCTGCACAGGTCACGGCGAACAGTGTCATAGTTGCGAATTGCAGGACTTTAAAAATAACAAAGAAAACAGTCCGCTCTCCACCTCTCCATGGCTGTCTCTCACACTGTCTGTGCGGAGCTGAGGCTACACCGCAGATGATACACAGCGCCTCGCCCGTTCACAACACAAATTACTAGTGTTTAGTTTTGGTACATGTGGTACACTGATTTTTTTGTCTCCCTCTCTCTCAAGAATTAAAATAAACATCTTCTAATTGAGGTTGTAGTATTCCCTTTCTTGGCTTTTGGCTTACAACCCACTGAAATATGTCTCTATATTACATTTGAAAATTTGAAAAAGTATGCCATATCGGCTGATGTTTTTTTAATCAACCTAATTCAAACCAAATTAAGAGAAGAAATCAATACATTCAACAAAGTGATTTCAATACCACTGTAAGCATTGAATATGGATCACAAGTAAGTAAGTACAGGCATTGTGTGTGTTTTCTGTTCATATGATTGATATAGGCTAAACTATGTTTTTATTGATGCAAATTAGATTATTGATCATATCAGATCTGAAGCCCACATAACAAGGACTACAGGACTACATTGATGCAGCAGAGGCAGCATGGGTCCAGCTCCAAAACTGCTGGATCCTACATTTCCCATAATGCAACTCAATGGTGCCTTTCATTAGATAAAACCATTGCCATAGACTATATATAAGAAGTGGACATAGTCTTCATGAAGTCACCCGTTGGTTTGTGGACTGTCGTTCTGAAGCCTCGAGTTTGGCCGGCCATGGTAACGACATGTCAATCATAGATAATCCCGCCCTGAAGCATACTCTGCTTTTGAGACCATAAACTCATTAGGAAAGTGTTTACTGAGGTAATTATTCAGATGAGAAGTAGGGTCATTTTACCATTATTTCTAATGGAACCGGACTTCTTTTTGCAACCACAAGAGTCGCCCCCTGCTGGCTGTTTGATAGAATGTATGCGTAAGGTTCCATGTTGGCTTCGCGTCTCAGACCGGAAGCTTCCCACTTGACCATTCCACAATAATGCAGGCTTTCCATTATACATCTGTAGTCTCCATGCAATAATAAATGCAATACAGTTTCAAAGTGAAAAGTGTTTGTAGAACAGGTTGGACAACAATGTGCTTTGGAGTCAGCAACCAAAGACTGTACCAGATTACTCCACTCATTAGTTTACATGGTTTACAAGGGCTGAAGGTGCTTTAATCAGTTAAATCTGGACAATCATTTTTTTCCCTTTCCTGTTAAGTGGTGCATTCAGGCGACCTTTGTCATGAATTTTACCACCAGGAAGTTTCACTACTAAGTTTACAAATTTAGGGAAACCCCATGATACTTGAGTTTATGAATAATGTTATTGTACTTCAACAAGTGATGGGCAACTGGCTATAAATTTGACTATCTTTATCACAAGATGTCCAACATTTCCAGGCTTCTAACAATATGCAAACAGTCCATTTCATGTCTGGTTTCCAATATACACATTGCAGTAACTTTTCACTGGTCTAATTTCTGCGTCATATTTACCGGTGACATGGCCACTCAAAGACAAACACTTCAATTCAATGTAACAATAATTTGCAATGGCTGCAAATGCAACATTCCTCTGTTTGAATGAAATGTTTCCCAGCTCCTGATGTTGCCCAACATTTTGCAACAGCCTTGGAATGAATAAAACCAGTACATCTGTGACATACCTCGTCTTTATAAACACTGCAGAGTTACAAACAGCCATTAGCATGCCACTTTGCACCATTAGACAAAATTTTAATCTTTATTTTGACTGGTCGAGCTGAGAACATGTCAGAAAGAAGGCGAACTGCAACAATTTGCCAGTTGTAACAGCTCCTGATACTTGAAACAAGACATTCAATGTGACCATGTTTCAACTCAACAGAACATTGTGCTACATTTTAGCAGCACTGTTAGACACACTTGATCGCGTCATTCGTTCTTGACTTCACATTGCAAAAACTAAAGGACAGACGAAATACAGCAATAAAGGCTGTTGTCAGTTTCTATGCTTTCATGCCAGGCAATCATTGAGCAGTTACACGGTTTGACTGAGATGGAAGACCACAAAAACATTAACGCATTTGGTTGTGTAATTACATCAAACCATTTGATTGCATGAGAAAGAGCAGGAACATATATTTCACACTCTGTCTCATCATATCACCTGAATTACCTGCTCAAACCTAGAAACATCAAAGTGTGCAGTGTACACGCTGCATACAATATTTATGCCAGCAAGATAAAACATGAAAAAGACCCAGCACAGTTCAGTTTCCTCAAGGCAAAAAATTGATTTTGGGCAGCAACAATTTAAGCATCCTGATACTCAAATGCTCAGTTTTTCTTTATGGCGTTTTCTCCGACCATCTACTCTATGATCTTTTCCATCTATTTCAATGTTCTCACAACATGAATGTCAAAGGTCAAGATTTCTTCCACTAGACAATCTAGAAAATTTCAGAATCATTTCAGAACCTCAGCATGAAGGTGTGATGACCCTCTAAAACATACATGACATCCAGCCACTGATTTGTTGACACTCCCCAGCTGATTTCTGGACCATTATAATCACACACTACACTGAGGATTTGACCCTTTCTCTCTGCTATCAACATGGCTGGCAGTCTGCAGATCAACTCAAAAAATAAATAAAGTGCAGGTCTGCACGTTTATTTTTTTGTTGCTACAATGTGAAAATTGTCTTTAGGCAAACAACATTTCACCAGTTCCAACACATCAGGCGCTTTACTTGGTACTCAGAATTTAATGTACATTATTTATAATATGAGCAGGAGAGTCCTTTCACTGAACATTCATTTTGATAGTCAAACTGAGTTTCACTGTGTCACCATCAACAGACCAGTCACCCTGCTGCAACGGGTGAAGAGGGAGTCTTTTAAAGCTAAAGATGAACCAAATACTTTTGGTTTAGTGGTTTTTTTAGTTATTCTAGAGAAAAGGACAAAAGTGTTCTGTCTGTGCCTCTGTGTGTGTACATGTACAGCTTTTTGTGTTTACATTCTGTAAATGGTTCATCTGAAGGTGATGGAGAAAACACTGAATTACATGCAAAACAATGTTTTACCTTGAGTTTGATTGTCTTCCTCACACATCCTCCAGCAGTACACACATTTACGGAGGATTCCATTGTATGGTTATTAAACACATCGGGTCTCGGTAATGGCAACATCCCTCTCATCACCTTGATAGGACAAGGCCTGGCCAAAGCAGAATGTCGCCATAATAGTTTGTCTTTGCCATCCATTTGTTCCTGAAGAAGAAGAATTTTTTGTTAAGTCTGCTTTATGCACGGCATAATTAAACAGTCACATACCAACATTGATCATTTAATCTATACTCTTCAATAAACACAGGTCAAGCTCCAAAACCTTTTTATGCCATAAACTGATAAAGCAGCTTGGTGCCCTCTACTGTAACAGTTTTCCCAACAGGGGCTTGCATTGTCATGCAACCCTGTTGCTGTTAAAAAAAACACACACATACATATTCACTTACATATCTATACAGAATCAAACCCGGAACAACACTGTCATTTGACAGAGAGTCAGAAGACAAATCACATTCTAGTTAGGGTTTACACATGACCCTCTCCATCCCATTCCAGCTATTCTACTAGCTAGATCAACGCTGAATTGTCAGCAGTTCTGTTTTAATCATCAAAATGGGGGTCAGGACCTGGCATGATCAAATGCAGGGTAGTACTGATGAAGAGAAACAAGAGAAAGGAACACATGAATGGAGTGCTGTAGACAGCTGGTGCAGCGCTCATGAAGATGCAGCCACATAGGATTTTTAGACCAGTCTCTTACCACCAGCAGCTACAGCTTATAAGTTAATCAAAAGAGGACGGCCATGAAAAAGCACACAAACTATAAACACAGCCTGAAGACTGGTGCGGCTCAAGAGGCCCAATGTGACTACATATCAGTCACCCGTTATCAACCAAAGCTGGGACCAGTCAAAAGCAGTGTCTGATGTTGATAGACTTCTCACACTCAGAGGTTGAAGGATGCACCACTAATGACAGCAGCAGAAAAATATGTATTTACACATTAGACAGTGCGGCACTCTATACCCACTCACATGTAATCTTTTAACTCTTACCTACAGGGCATCTACTGAACTCCATGGATGCAGCACTATACCCATGAGTCTACACCCACTTCTACTTTTTGGTTTCAAAATTGGACTGACATCTACTGATAACATTTAGGGCATTTGGGCTTTTTTGATCATTAACGTACAAATGGAATTCTGTGCATACAGGTCCCTGGCCATGTCAAAACAAGCACATTGTGGATCTTGTACATGGCGTGCATTTTACATCACTGATCTACCAGGATTACAATAAATAGCCTTTTCAGTAAAGAGACAGTTGTAAGTACACATAATTGATTTACAAGAACAGTTAATAATCAAATTAAGTTATTTGTGGTCATTTCTAATTTTTCTATAAAGCTTTATCTGCACCAAGAAAACTAAAGAAAAACATAATAGATTAAAAAATTTACTTTCCCCCCCCTGTATCACAATATCAAGTGATAATGCATTTTGACTACTACTGGCATCCTATTTAAAAAAATACCTACACAAAGGTTTCAGTAACGCCATAAGCTAGAAGTAGTGTGACAAGAAGGTGGGTAAACTGAACAGCTAAAAACAGCAGGGTTTGGAGGGTAAATGAGAAATCCTCTTCCCAACCTCAGCAACTACAAACAAGAAGCCCTTAAGCAACTGGCCCAGTGGAGCTGCTCAGCAGGCAGCGGAACAAAAGAAGACGTTTCTCTGTTCAGCTCTGTGACTCTCTGAACCAGATCTGGTTATTTATGAAATCAGATAAACTTATGTAAAAGTAGTATTTTGTGTCAGAATTCTTAAACACATGTATTTGTAAAAAATAAATAAAATAAACTTAAGTTAAGTTGAGAGTTATTTGTCATTTTAATGTGTTCACTGATCTGTGATATTTCTTTCTGATTACAGAAAAATGCAAATTCAATAGTTTGTAGCTTGTCAAAAGAATTCTTATAATCATGATGAATTTGAATATGTGAATTT